CACAAAAGCAAATCAAATAAAAACTAAAAATACAAATGGAAACAAGAAATATATTTTACGGCAACACAAAATGTGTGTGCTTCGAGCGACATAGCGATGCGAAAGTCATCAACTAAATTGCTTAGGTCTCTCCTCTCTCGCTGCATTTTTGTTGATTCATTTTCTGGTTTTTGTAGCTTCTGCAATTCTGAAAGCAGAAATTGCGAATAGAAAATTACATTTTGATTCCTGGCAATGCCAATTTTCATCGCTGAATTTTTTAATTTCACACATGGCTTCCAAATGAGTCGTCTTCTTTGGCTCTGTGGGGGTCGTTATACTCTTCTAATGAAATAGCTCGTGTTTAAGTTGAATTGCCAGGACTATCCTGCAGTTTGCATTACGAACAGATTTATGGCATTCCTGGCAGCATCCCTTCTTCTCTCGATTGTATTAACTACATATGTGTAATAATTACACGTAAATGATGTTGCATAAATTCCATATTGCTGCTGCTGCCCCTTACCCCAAAAGTCGGAAAACAATACATTTACGGCCAAAAGGGGTTGCAGATTTTACTGGATTTTGGATTTCCGGAGAGATAATGGCATTGTTTTGTCGTCACTACCACCATATGGCCTGGCATCAGTTTGCATTTGCCTTTATTAAATTAATAAACAACGAATTTAAGGCAAATGTACAGAGCAAGGAAGGCGGCAGGAGATGCCAGGAGCGAGTCACCGGGATTTGGTAGCTATTATTGTGAATATTTATTATGTTAAATTATTCAAGAAACTCGTTGCAATATTAATTATTAAATTAAGTCTAAATTAGTTTCACTTTCGTCTTGGGAAAGCAATTGTACTTTCAATTTTTTTAGTTTCAAACTTATCAGTAGAATTATTTTAATTAGTTATAAGCTTATAATTATTAACGCAATATCTTATTCCAATATGACTTAATTATTTACAACCATTTTGAATTTAAAAATAAATTCTATAACTCCACTACGATTTAATCCAGCTAAATTCACAGTGACTAACTAGTTAATCCGGTGACTGCCAGCTCATTTCCAGCACAATTCCCATAATATCTGTGTGCGTTTACCCTTTTGGCAAGGATCATATTTAGAGGGCGGGGGGAAACGGAAATGAGGGCGGCGTGGGTGGGTGGTGGCCATTGCGTGTGCGCTTGTGAACATAATCCAAAATGACAGGCAATGCAGTGATTATGTTATTAATTAGTAATGGCATTGCAATGCGTATATTTGCACCGAGCAAAGTGTTTCATTACGCAGCAAGAATCGTCGAAGGTTGGGTTTGGGTGGCTTTTGGGAATTGGTAATGCCTTTGCCAGCTTGTTTAAATATTTGATTTACGGTTTCTAGATGCATAATTACCGGCAGCTTAGTTCTACTCCCATGTAAGTTATGACCTGCTATTCCTGTGTCTACATGCATTCCACGCCCCCCTGGAGGCCATTATCATATTTTTTTCAACACCAAAAACAAGAAAAGCAAACAAACAGCTAAGAAAATATGCTAAATTACACATTAAAACATTATTATTTGTTAAAAGGGAACCGGGAATGCGGCAAATTGTTGAAAATTTTTCTTGGCACGCAAGAGAATTATGTACAGCAGCCGCCATTACTAAGTAGCATTTTGGCCCCCGCCCCAGCACTCACTCGCCCATCCTAATTTGGCTGCTCATTGTTGGGCCAGACATCATTTTCCTTTTCGTTTTCATTTTTATTTTCGAAAAAGTGCGCGGCGAATGTGAAAATTAATTATACTAAGCACACGCACAACAGACTGAGACAAAGACTGAGGGGGGTTAACAGCATGGGTTAAGAGCTACATTGCAGACTGGGCACAGACTATTTAAGGATTGTTGCGACTCTCAGATCTTCTGGCGTTGATTGAAATACATGTGTAAGACCGGCGACCAGGGAAATAACTGAAACGCATCTGTCATAAACCTATTTAGGTGGCGAATGCCATTTGCACTGTCAGAAAAATATCCAAAAATGGTGTTGAAATAATAAAAATGGTCATGGATCAGTGAATGAAGTAATTAGGAAATATTTTGTATATTTCTTAGAAATTTATATGAATTTTAAAACCATTCTATCGTCTTTGCTCTTAGAAAATACTAAATATATGAATTTTGACTGATTTTCAGTTCTTTAAAAAATTCCCAGAAAATCGTATTTAATTACCAAAAAAATCTAAATCGATTTTCCCAATTTTTCCGTGTTTCCTCTTGTGTTTGGCTTTTGGGCTATTTATGCGCTCTGTTTCTGTCATCTTTTGCCCCACACGCTCACGCAGACACTCTTAAATGTCAATAAATCATAAGCGGGTCGCCAAAAGCAAAGCGAAGGGGCATTAGAGGCAGTGAGGCAGAGCGACAAGGGCCATGAATCGCTTGACAAGTTCTGGATGGATATTTTTAGAAATAGTATACTGTATTTCCACATTTCGCCTTAATGAGGTCTAGTGCCGAGATCAAAACATAACAAACAAGGCACTTTATTGACACTATGAAAAGTCTACGAAATCTCTGGCCAAAAGCGGAAGAATATAAACAACACAACACAGATTAGGAATGGAAATAAATTTATTAATGGAGATTTATGCAATATTTACAAAAATAACGCATCACGCCCCCCAAGCATTAATAATCCCAACGATTCGGAATCCAAGAATCAATTAGATCATCGGCACCGCCACAGTTGGCCAGGCCGAAAAGCACTTGAGAATACGAGTAATCAACAATTAAATACGACGATGATGAGGGCCCGCATCCGCGAAAGGCCATAAAAATAAAATTCAGGCATTTATAGTAGAGGTGAAAGGAAGGAATCCACTCGGGTTGGCCCATTAAGAGTGCGCATAAGGTAAACACGGGAAATGCTTTATTGTTTATGAATGTATCTAATGAACATTTTCGGGGTGGCGGCCGCAACTCACACACACACACACACACACACACGGGATGAGTAATGGCCAATTGAAGGAAAAGGCCGAATATAATCGGTGAGGAAACTCACTCATAATCCATCTTCATCCATAAAATAAACAATTTGCGTATGCATCAATCTATCGGCGAGTATATAACCATTTTGAATTCCACACACAAGTGTGTCTGTGTGTGTATTGCGGGGTAAATTCGAAAATATTTGGCAATCAATTAATTGATTTTCGATATGAAAATTTTAGGTATTTAGATTCGAGAATTGCATATTCAGTGTGTGCTTGTGTTTGTTTAGCGTGTACTTGAGCATTTCCTCTTTTCAATTTGATTTTTCTGTGGCTGTGGAGGGTGAGGATGAGGTGTGTGGCGTTTTCATGTTAATTTCATAATTTTTCCGCCACTCGGGGAAAATGAGCATGTCATATAGCAAGGATAGAGACTGATGTATGCGTTGGTACCTGGCACTGGGAGAAATGCAAGTTTTTCATGAGGAACTTTTTTTTTATGGAAAAAAAGGTAATATTTAGAATACTTGTAGAATTTTTCCTAATTTCTCCATTAATAAAATCAAAATAATTCGGACAGTATATTTATAAATTAACCTTTACTAAAAATTGCTACCATTATTTTCTCCTATTGAGAATTCTTTTATAATTATTTATAATCAATTGAAATGCATATCAAAAAAATTTGTAAATCATTACCTTTCTCTCTGTGCATTTGTATCTGTATTTTGTGTGCAGACATGCCGCTGAAATACTAATTATGTGCGCGATTTAAATAGATTTTTCATTTATTTAGCTGGCCCATCATTTCTGGATGAAATGGAAATGAAAACGAAAATGAGAGCCAAATGTTTTATGTTGCGCCATTGGCCTCAGTTGAAAATTATGGGGGGGAAAAAAGGGGGTCGATTTTTGCCTTTTGACGTGCGCCTGTCATTTCATCATTGCTCTTGTTTTGGACTCCGAAAAAAAAAAATAGAAAAACAGCGGCTGACTGACGGGGCGGAAGTGTTGCGAGTATATATTCGAATAATTCAGTGCAGCGGGAGGATACACAATTCTCGAGTTATTTGTTGTGCGCCCACTAATAAGGCCAAATGGGGCATAAACATTCGTAATTATGTGGCTATGAACTGGCTCTTAGAGGAACTCATTTTGCGGATCTCTTAGAATTAAGGGAAATTATACCTTTAATTGAAAGAGTGTCAGATCATTTTTTGCGTTGGTTTAAGAATTAATCAAATTTAAGGTTTATTCGAAAGCCCTTGTGAGATGTAATAATCTATTATATTATTTTTATTACATTAGTGAAATAAAGATCATAAACCAGGAATATAGAAACCTTTTTTTAATAAAGTAATATTAAAGGTTTTACCACTTACCAATGCTATAAATTCGTTTACTTCCATAATATTTAATACACATATTTTTTTTAGATAATGTTCGGAAAAACTATTTTTTAATCACTTTCACTTTTAATTAATTTCTGAACGTGTGTAAAATGTTTTCAGTGTAACACACACACAATCAGAAGTAACACAGAAAAAAAAACAAAAAAAAGAGGAAGAGGCTTCACTTACTGTCCCTGCAACAATGATCAAAAATGTTGTGTGTAATTGCGTTTAATATATGAAAATATATGTACGTTAGGAGTGGTGTTACATCCCTTGAATCTTCTTGTACGAAATTGATCAGATTTATTCAATTTTTATTTGCAAAATATGCACACAATCAAAGAAAAGTCCATTTTGGCGTCATTTTACACACACATACATACAAACAGCGCAGTGCGCATTTGGATGAAGCCCTAGGGCTCCGCTGAACACAAACTTTAAAAGCCCTTAAAACGTAGATATTTCCATTATCCGTGAAAGCCGCCACATCTAAGAAACTTTAATAACAATAACAACACAATAATACACTTGTTTTAAGTCTGAATTACACCATTTTACACCCGCGCACTAAAAAATAAAACTGACAGTGCTGCCAACAACAGTGTTGCACATGTATTGAACCTTCTGTCTCTCTCTATTTGCAGGTCAAGATTTGGTTCCAAAACCGTCGTACCAAGTGGAAAAAGCAGGATAATGTCACCAATAACGAGGCGGCGGAGCACAAGTCCTCAAATTCCAATAAGCCAGGCTCAACAGGGACAACAACAACAGGAGGCAGCGAGCCAGCCGAGAAGAGAAGCGCCGGCAACAACAACACAAACACAAGCTCAGCGGGCGGTTCGCCGACAGTTGGCAGCGCTGCTGCCACACCGAGTGCTATGGAGACCAAAAAGTCTCCAAAGTCTCCAAACCGCGGCAGCAGCAATAATAACAACAACAATACGCTAAATAACAACGTTAATAGCAAGCAGAGTACAACAAAGATTAAGAAACAATTGAATGCGTTGCTGGAGAAGACCGTCAAGGCGGCGGCAGCTAGTCAGGTGAAGACAGAGATGGAAACGCCGGCAGCATCTGCTGATCATCATCACCAGAAGTCGTCCTCCGCCGGCGAAAAGCGTAATAATAGTAACAACAATGAGAGTCAATTGCAAAACCAGCTGCTGCACCAGCGCCTGCACCAGCATGCGATTCCCCTGACCGTGGAACCGGCAGCGCCCTTGGAGCAGACCGAAAAGCTGGACATCAAGCTGGAGGAGTCGCCGCAGCACAGGGAACTGCAGTTGAGTCTACAACGGGCGGCCATTCAAAATGGCCAGCTAACGGAAATGGATTTCGAGAGCAAGCTGGCGGCCAGCAAGATTTCCATTGCTCTGTCAATGTTGCAGCCGCCAATCCCCGAGGGGCAGGACAAGAAGCCCAACAACAAGAACAACAACAAGCCGGACAGCGAGTCCTCGGGGGAGGAGGAGGACGAGGACGAGGAGGAGGATACGGCGAGCGAGCATGGCGATTCTACGGAACCGCACGACGACTCGCAGGATCCGGATGCCACAATGCGGGAAATCTAGAGAAATAAGCCCAGAGAGACAGTCAAATTACCATAACTTGTGCCAAAAAACGTCGAATATTGCTCACATTTCCCCCAAAAATATTGAAAAATCCCTAAATATAAAAAAGAAAATCATAAAAAACAAATAAAGAAAACTAAGTGAAAACCCATTACTGTAAACCTAATTGTAATTTAATTGTCGCGTAATCCGTTCACCCTTAGGCTTGTATTTAATTTATTTAAAATATATATTTAACGCTAAGAGTCCTAGGCTTTTGTAAATGTCGCATTTAAATGAGAGAGCTGCAAACTATATATGAAAAAAGAAAACAACAAAAATTATATATATCTGTAATCTGAACTTTCGAGAATTTCATGTGATAATGTATACGAGGCGATTACAAAATTGATTTTACTAATTGAACTATAAAAACTACATGGTATATGTAAGCTGTGCTACCCTGTAAATGGCAATTGAATGAAACATATTTATTGAGTGTTTGTACAAAATTAAGTAAGGCAACAAATAGGAATGACATAGCCCCGGAAATTGTGCTACTATAATTTAATTTAAAGGATTTTGCAAATAATTAAAATTACATTTTTAAAAAGCAAACATTAGTTTGCTTAAAAAAAGGTATATTAAATTACAATAGAATTAAATCAAACTTGAAAATTATTAATTCAATTTTAACTTAACTAAATAACTTAATTTTGTTTAAATGTCTAGTTTTTTTTTTCATAAAAAAAAGAATTTGTATGAATTTCCTTTAAAGTACTTTGCTTAATTATTTCAAATTCCCTTAAATTAAATTAAAATAGAAACAAATTATAATGGCTGAACAGATTCCGCCATTACACATTTTAAATTCAAACAAATTAAACGAAAACAAAAAAGATGAAAAACAAAATAAACAGATTAAAATTCAATCGATCACAGGCGACGCATTTTGGCTGGCGGGCGGGTGAACTGAGGCTCGGGAACATCGACCACGCCATCGGCCGTGATAAGGAACTCGGCAAAATCATTGGGTGTCTCCGGGGAGTAGAGAATCTCCAGCTTCCTAACCGTCAGCAGCTGATCCGCCGCTCTATGCTGCTTGGGCACGCGTGAAACTCTCAGACGGGTACGTCCCAGGTGGGCCCACTGCAGTCCCAGGCAGGGTATCTCCTCCTTGACGGCACTGGAGGCCACCTGATTTACGCACACTACAGCGCAGTTGAACTTGTCCGCGTGGGTTAACAGAGCGTTGGCAAAACGACGCATCTCCCGTGCTCGCTCCAGGTAATCAGTGTAAAGCCGGAAGATAGCCGCCACGGAATCAATGATGATCAGGCCAATGCCATGCTGCTGCATCAAACGGGGCAGGCGATTCTTCACGCAATTTAGCAGGGGTTCCTGATGGATAAGAGGATTGGCATTATAAAATCTTTATAGAAGGTTGTACTCACCGTTTCGTAATGATGCTCCACAAAAATGTTGCCCAGAAAATTGAGCTTCTCCTGGGGATGTCGCTTCTCGCAGGCCTTGCTCATCTGCAACAGACGTCTTGCCGGAAAGGCATCCTCCGTGCATATGTAGGCCACACCCTTGCCCAATCCACCCAGCTCAGTGGGCAGCTGGACACACAAGGCCAGCTGGAGTAGGAGCTGCGTCTTGCCCACACCCGAAGCTCCGCAGAGTTCGGTGATGCCTCGAGTGACCACACCGCCACCAGTGCAGCGATCCAAGGCTGAGCAGCCAAAGGAGACACGCGACCATCTTACATTGGCCAGGGGCTTGAACAGGGAGTCGGCTTTAGGGATAATAATTAATTAGTTGTTACATAAATTACATAAATCCTCCTCACCCGTCTGCGGCATCTCTGCCAACCACTTGGCTGCCGCATCCTTGAGCACCCGCACATCCTCCGGCGTGCACTTCCGCACCAGCGTGTACAGCGATTTGGAGCGCGTGTCCAGGAAGCGGATCTTCGGCGTTGTCAGCACCTCCTCCGGGGCCAGGACATTAACTGGAGTTAAAGTGGCATTAGGCGACACTTGAACTAAGTTTTGGGCACACCCTTTCCTTACCCTGCAGCGCAATATCCCTGATGTGCTTGGGCAACTGATCCAGAAAGTCTGTCATCGCCGCGGCTCCGCCAAGGAGTGTGTGATGGCATGTCCTCGATGGGATTGCGTGATTTTATGGCCCGGGCCCACACGAAAGGTGTTTCAACACCTCGGGAATCATTCGGAAGCGGGGGAAGTATCGATCAAACAGGCCAAGCCGAGTAATCAGCGACGATTTGCGAAATAAACAAAGCGCAGACCGGCTTTTCGCCCTCAATCAGCTGTTGGCGCCATTTTAAAAATAGGTCAATCGGCGCTACAGTGGTTATTGGATAAGAGGAACTACTTTATTTTCTCTTTTATAAAGGAAAATTGTTTAAAGGAAAGGTGAAGAATTTAAAAACATTTAATATTTAAATATTAATCTGGTAAAATGTCTTAAAGATTCTTTAACAAAAACCTCTGGAAATAAATTGTAAGAAGATTGCAATGGTATCCGCATCTAAGCTCTTTAAGCTCTTGTCAAGCTTTTTTTCTGGAACAAACTAAGGAATGCTTAGTTTTCCTTGTAATAAAATTATTTAAGAGCACACCATCCTCTCAAGCGATCCTCACTGTGTCAAGTCTCCAGGTTGATTATCGAAATCTTTGTTTTGCTCGGCTGCTCATCCTTGATCAGACCAATTATTCACCAAACACTTGATATTATTTACACATTAGATTTGTTTTGTTTCAATCATTTAATTTCGAACATTTTTCGCACAAACATCAGAGAAAAGCGCAAGAACGGTGCGATCGATAGCCGTGTGTTATCGATAGATGGTGTTTGCGGCTCCTCTTCCTCTTCCTTTCAGGCGAATGTGTGTGAGTGTATCGGTGTAAATGTTGTTGTTGTTGTTTTCTTCTCGTTAAGCTAAGGGAACTAAGGATCTTGGATCCTGCATCAGCCTAGTTCTTGGGCTTGGGCTGGGAGAGCTCCGCCAAAGCACGGGCCTCGGCTTCGGCGCTGCGCTTCTTCTCCTCGGCGAGCTTCGCATCGCGGACAACCTTCTGCTGGGCCTCGATCTCGCGCACCTTCTCCTCCTTCTTGGACAGGCGGCTCTGGTGGGCGGCACCGTAGGCGATGCCCACAAGGAGCAGCGACCAGCGGCCGAACTTGATCAGGGGCGAAACGCGAACGGGAGCCTGCGACATGGTTCTTTTCTGGGAGTTATGTAATGGTCCAACCGGGGAAACTGGAATAAAGGGGGAGATGTTAGTCGTAAACTTTGGGCCGTACGTTTCTTGTGGTACTTTATACACCAGCAAAAGCTTTTTACTCTTTTTTCTTGTCCACTTTTTTCGTTAAAATTGCGAAAATTACCCAAAATCGAAGCTGAAGTATAACCTTAAAACAGCTGTCAAACGAGAGATGGAACTTAAGACGACTTATCGATATTTTTACAAATATACCAAATGCAGTATTAAAAAATTAGCGCGATCACACCTACTGCGATTTGAATTGTAATATGAGGAAAATAAAAAATTATATGTCTGTCACATATTTTAATATTATATTTGAAGAAACTCAGATTACTTGTTCTTAAATACATGTATTTTATAATTTTTGTAGTATTTTTAAGTAGACCACATTTCGAAGTACAAATAAAAATGCACCAGCTTAGTTTAGTATTTTTTAAGACTATAGTTATTTCGGACCAGCCGCGGTCACACTAACTTCTAAGAAAAAAGTATTTTGATTTCCCGAAAACATGGCTAATTCCAGCTAATATCGGAAATTTGCAAATTTAAAACACATATTTTCCCGTAAAACAAGACTGCGGCTGCTTTGTCAAAATCGTGGGACAAGTGAAAATTGACGCGTGTTAAATGCAAACAAGAAAATTCCAACACAGACCTTGAGTGGCTCACACACACACACACACGGGCAAACACCCCCCCTCTCACACCTGCCGTTAACACTTACACACACACACACGCTCGCGCACATAGATAAAGAGGAGTGCGAAAGGGAGGGAAGAGACCGAACCGTTCCCTGTTTTTTGTGTTTTTTTTTACGAACAGGAAGTGTTCGTTCGCTTTTTTTTTGCCAGGATCTGCTGAAATTGGCAGCTGGCGATCAGAATAATGGTGAACGTACCCCCGCTACTCTGTAGCACACCGCCGCCCATCGATTTCGGGGAGGAGGACGACGATTCCGGTTTGCAGTCCACAATACATTTGGACGAAAATGACGAATACTCCGAGTTTGGCTTAGTCAGCGGCGCAAAAGGTAAGCTTAAAGGGGTAAACATAGCCGGAGATCTCATCTGGAGAAGGGGATGTATCCCCCGGACTGTACAAGTTTTGGCTTTATTCGATCAACTCTTTGGGATCAAGCAATACTTAAAATTCGTTTGTGTTATTAAAAACATTAATTAATTAAAAATAAATTCAATTTAACAATTACTATTACTGCATAAATTTATTTAAAATTATTCCCGCTTTTCAGAACCCCTTCCTTCGCCGGATCCCGTGACGGAATACCGGGAAAAGCCACCGGATGATATAGTGGAAAATAAACAAACCGCCGAGGCTTTTAATTACCAAGTGAAGCAGTCGATCGATTACGATGTTTATAGGGAAACGGCACCACCCACACCCCCACCTTTAAGTCTAGACCTTGACGAGGAAGAAGCGGAGCAGAATGGGGATGTGGATCAACTGGAGGAGGACGAGGAGGAAACGAATACCAATGAGTCTGTGCCCTCCCTAAAGCTGGACAGTCTGAGTTTGTACTCCACGGAAAGCGTATCAGCAGCTTCCACACTCTCACCCTTAGGGGAAATGAATGCGAATGCAGTTGCTGAACCCATTACCAAAGCCCACGTTGTCCTCAGCCATCAAGTCACGCTGGAGGATGTGTCTGATGACAGCGACGATGAGTGTTCGCCAAAGAAGCCCAAAGAATTATTTATACGCGAGGGAGCCAAGGATTTCTTTGCCATTGAGGTGCTTGCCACTCCCACATTACCAAATGGAGACGGTGTCCAACATACAGAGGAGAGTCCTAGGAACAAGTCACCAGAGGATGAAAGCTTTAAGAGGAGGGAACCACAAGAGGAGCAGGTCCCCAGCTGCAGAGAGGAAACCACCACCAAGCAGGAGAAGCCAACTGAAAGCTCTATTTTTCAGTTTGCAAACTTTGAAGCAGAACCAAAGATTTTGACAGACAAAGAGATTACTCCGGAGGAGAAGTCACACCAGGCAGAGCCTCAGGAAGCAGATGACGACGATTTCGAAGACTTTGGTGACTTTGCGGATTTCTCAGCTGTTGAAACCGTGGATATCAAGGAATCCCTGGCGATAGCTACTCCTCTCAAACAAGATTCCTCAGAGGCTAAGGCAATTACTCTCGTAGAGCCTCCTCAGGATGATGGCTTTGATGATTTCCAAGACTTTGCCACACCCGAAGAGACGCCCGTCCAAAACCGTGACGAAGAGGATGATGATGATTTTGGTGATTTCTCGGAGCCCACTGTGGCTGCCATTCAAGTACCTCCACCGCCGCCACCAGCCACAATCCACCTGAGCCTCGACGAGCGGGTTAAGCCAGTCCTGGAGATGATGTTTCCTCAGTCCAAGGAAGCAACCAGTACGAGTCTTGAGAAGCGTCGAGCGTTGGCTCAGTGTCAGCGCTTTAATTTTGGTGCCATCGAGCATGCTCGAGCTTTGAAATACGAGTGGGGCAGCTCGGAGATGAGGCATGCCCTTGTGCGATCGCTGGGCATTGATTCGAGGAATATAGTAAGTATATTATTTCATTTTAAATAGCTTTGAGTTTCAGTTCATAAAAATATTACAATTCCTACTTGATTTTTTCAGCTCTTTGGCGACAAGTGGAACTCATCGATGCCGCGTTTTGCAGCCAACTTGAGTTTTGATCCTCTAAAACCTCTCAAGCCACTATCGCCTGCCAATGCCAATGCCAGCACCTTGGAGCCCACCGCCAGCAGCAGCAGCAGCTGCCAGGGTGAGTGTCCTTTGCAGATCTCTCTAAGAGATTGCTTCCCTCGTATAGTTGCCGCAAATTAACCGCTACACAAGTTTCGTAAATCGAGAAATTGCCGCCACCCAACAAACGCTCGCTCGCTTTCCGTTGCCCTTCCATATCCTTTTTACCACCCACACACACACACGCTTTCCCGGATTTGATCTGCCGTTCGATTGAAATTGGCTGCTCCTCCTTTTTTGCGTTAAACTTTTTTTTTGTTTTGCCTTGTTTTATGTTGCCACAGTTTTTTCGAACTTTTTATAAACAAACAATCAAAGAAAAAGTTTATCCTTACGATAACAAAATGTATTTAGAATCACATGTACAGACTTTACAATTGGAACAACTAGACCAACTACTAACCGTGATGGTGGCTAATGCTGATAAAATAAATCTTGTTACCTCTACCTCTAAACACACCAATAACAATAACAACAACCACAATGATACTACTGATACTGATGATGATGATGATGGTGATAATAATGGTGACAACGACGTGGCTGCTACTCCGCTGGATGATATGCCCTTGCCCTTGATGGATTTGATGCCCCAAAACAATCACAATTTGTCTAACGATTTGCACCACAACTCTCCTCCACTCACACATATGAATAATAACAATAACAATAATAATAATAATAACCATCCGAATAATAACAATTATGCAAACAATACAACAATTAACACAAATCTCACTGCTCACTGCGACGCCTTGCTGGATTTTAGTAAGTTTCGTTGGCTCTGTGCGTGTGTCGTAGTTGTGTTTCCACCTCTTTTTACTTTATTTTATGGTTTTTTTTAGTTGCCAATATACTTCTGAGCTATTTCTCAATTCCCTTGATCCACAGTTCCCCTAGTTCTAGTTACTTTGGCACCACAAAGCATCCAATCTCCGCCAGCACAAAGTAGACCCCACTTCCCACATTTTCACATTTTTACTTAGCTAGAAAACAAGTTTATACTAATAACATGTACTATATTCCTAGCATAATATTAAATGTTGTGTTGCTCTGAAATCGGTGCTTTAAATATAATAATACACAAATCGAAAACAATACATATCGAAGAAGAAATTGAATTATTTATTTTTAATTTATTGGAAAATATGAATTTATATATCAAATCGCTGTTTTTTAAAATTAAAATATTAATAATATCGAAAAAATATTCCAAAAATATTTTCAATCTAAATATTATATCGAAAATATATATTTTAATATATCTCATTATTGATATATCTTTTTTTATACATCGATATAGAAAAATATCGCGTTTAAGGTTTAAATATCTCTATTATCGATTAAATATCGAACGTTATCGAGTTTAACGTTTAAATATCGCTCTAAATATACCAAAAATATCTTTGTTTTATTTGTATTTAAATGATTTTACCAATATAAAAGGCAACACAACATATGACTATGAATTGTAAAATATAAATCTAAAATATGTCTTAAAGTCCTCACCAAAAGATAGCTCCCCGCAGTAATCACGTCTTTTCTCCTTTCCGCAGGACTGGAAACAGGCGCCGGGGCCCAAGCGAGCCAAACTGAAACGCGGCCTAGCCAGGCTTATGGGGAAGGGATCTCCGGCAGCACCCCCTCCAACGACGAAGAGCGACCCCAACCCCAGGGCGAACCCAAGCCAGAATCCCAGTGCCAGTCCAGCCACCATCATATTGAATCCCCAGCAGCGGCATCAGCAGCAGCTGTTGCTCCAACAGCAGCGACGCTACCGCCTGCTCTACCAGCAGACAGCCCTGCCCACCAGCTCAACGGCGGTGAGCAGCTGCATCAGCAGCAGCAGCACTCGGAGCCGGAGCAGTTTGATTTGAGGGCTAGTCCTCCACCCACCCAGCCGCTACCGCCGGTGCCAGTACAGGAGGAGATCATGGGCAGCAGCTCCTCCTCCTCCATTGCCAGTTTTGCAATGCCGCTGAAGGAGACCCATATCTATACACCCTCCAAATCGGATACGGCGGTGGCCAAGACCACCACGCTGGCGCCCATTGATTTCGACTATGAAATGGCGGCCACTGGCATTATCATTGATGAGACTGTGGTGAAGAAGGAGTACCGCGATGTGGAGTACAAGCCGCCCTTTGGCCTGGATTCGCCCAGCAAAGTGAGTAGCTTCGAGTTGCCAGCAGCAGCAGCTTCAGGAGCCTCAGCAGCGGCGACGGAGGACGACGACGACTTTAGTGATTTTCAATCGATGCCGGCGGTGCCACGTTCGAGGTTAGATACGCCCACTTTTGGCGAACAGATGATCCTCAGTCCGGCCATATTGCTGCCTCAGGCCATACCGTTGGCCAAGAAGGCATCATCATCATCATCATCAGGAGGGGCAGCTTCTGCCTCGATAGAGTGGGGCGACAATGCCTTGGCTAGCATTAATGCTGAGGAAATGGCACGCATCGAGGAGTTATTTTCTTCGCAGAATGCAAAGCCACCGACGATAAGCGCCTCGGTGGCCAAGAAGAAACCCACGCCCACGCCGGTTCCTCCTCAAGCTCAAGAAGATGACGAGTGGTCGGATTTTGTGTCAGTACCAGTGGCAACAACGCCCCAAAAGCAGCACTCGCCCCGCACCAACAATAATAACAACAATATCAATGGCAATCCCAGAAAGGGAACTCCACAAGCAGCAACTGCCGCTCCCAAAGACGATGATTGGTCGGATTTTGTGGGCAGCACTCCAGTGGCCTCTGTGGCTCGTCCAGCGCCACAGTTTAATTCGGGCGCCTGGCAGACTGCTAATTTCTACAACAATCCCTTGAGTCTCTACCAGGCACAGCAGCAACAGCAACAACATCATAGCAATCTAGTTCCCAACAACAACAACAACAACAATGTGCCAGCAATACCCCAGCAAATCCACATCATGCACGACTTCTCAACGGCACCCGTCGCAGGCGGCTTGATGACTGCCACCTACCAGCAACACCATCAGCGTCAGCAATTCCAAATTGGCAACGCCAAGGTGGCACCGCGCATCTCCCTTATCCCTGATCTCAGTTTTGTGGCGCCCGCTTTGCCCACGAATGCGGGTGCGTTTATGGGAGCTCTGCCGAAACCGAGCTTTGGCGGTGGCAAGAAATGACACAAGAAGTTGAGGAGTGGCCAGCAGCAGCAGCAGCATCATCGCCGCCAACAGCAACAGCCTCCACTGGGTGGCGGCGGGGGCAGGGGCGAAGCCACCATCCTCACGTAGGGATTACGAAGGGTAGAGAGGAGGAAGGCGGCCCGTAGGAGACAGTCAGTATTATGAATCCGTCTGATAATTATCATAAACCGTCACACACACGTACTTAGTTCGATGCAAGCGCTGTGTTTTCATGTTGTTGTTGTTGACGCTGTTGATGTTGTGCGTACTTGTTGTTGTTGTTGTAGATCGTAGATCATAGATCAGGATTTCCAAATTAAGAAAAAAAAAAGAAGAAAAAACCAAGCTAAAACCGATTTCCCTGCGTGCAATAATTGGATTACAAAATTAATTTTTTTACTTGAATTTGATTTTTTTTTTTTTAGAAGAAAACTAAAGACATGGGTCTTGGACCAAAATATATTTTTTTTCATTAATTTGAAAGTTTTTTATTAAATTTGAACTTGTCATTTTATTTCACTAACATTTTTAAAATAAAAATATTTTGTTTTTAATATATTTTCTGATTTAAAAAATGTCAAAATATTCAAATTAAAATCAAATTTATTTAAAACAGTAAATTTGTTTCTTCTTTCTAAAATTTTTTCTGACTTAAAACTGTCAAAATATTAGAATATAAAGTCAAATTTGTTTCAAAGCTAAAATTTTACGTTAAAAAAATTATAAAGCGTCCCAAAACTGTAAAAGAAACTAAGAACTTAATAAGAAATAATTGGATTTTTTTTAAATTTTCAAAAATATGTTGAAATTTGGTAACTTAGAAGATTTCTGAAGCTTTGCTAGATTTTACAAGACCTAGCTTGTGCGTTCTATGGTCATATCAATAAATTATTTTAAGATCAGCATTAGGTGACCATAAGTAAACCACAGGAAATTAATGTTCATTTTGAAATTTATGAAAAAATACCTCTCACTCTTCGCTCTCGCAGGCACTAAAAAACCATTCCACAAACGAACTTCCTTTGTTGTCACGAAAAAAATACTCCAAAAGCGAATGCGGGGGCCACCCATTTTATTGAAGGACTCGAACCCCAACCCGCCTGATGCGAATTTTTCTATATTGTGTACTTAAACGAGAACGTTGTAAATGTATTTAGGATTCGTTAGTTGATAGAACTCCCATTGCATTCCAAGTGTAAACACGAGTGTACAGTTTTTGCCATGATGATCTCCAGGTAAAAAGCACCTTGGATATACCGAAACCCAATCCGCTCCAGTTCTTAATTGATTTTGTTTGTTTTCTTTTGTGTTAATGTGTGTTTTTTTGATTTATTTATTTTTTACTTTATGTGTTACGCACTTTAAGTTGAATGTGTGTGTGTGTGTGTCTGGAAATTATATAAACAATTTATCAACTAAAACTAAGTGTGTATGTTCTTAGATATTAACCTGTAAATTACAGAATAGATTTCTCATTTTCATTTTGTTTTATTTTTCGTCAAGTCAATAATGAAAAAAAAAACAAGATACATGATTATAGAGAGATGGTTGCTGCTTGATTTAAATAAAATTAACTATGTACTAGAAAATATGATATATATGTATATGTATTACGATATTGTATAATTAAAAAGATATGCAAAGAATAAAAATTAAACCTATTTGAAAAATGAATTTAATATTGGAGAAATAACTGAAAAATACAGAAATGAAAGAACGAAGACCGAAAAGAAAATGTCTACAAAGAAAACGGTCTCGAGTCAACCGATATCGGTAAGAGGGGGGGAAAATGGTTTTAGGTTGTTCTGAAAATTTCAAACAATCTTTATTTTTGAGGGACAGATACATAATGTGAAGCTGGATTTCTAAGGACGGGGAACTATAGTTATATATATATATTATGTGGCGTGAGTATGCGTTTGAAACCTGCATGTGAGTAGAGAGATTATCAATTAACTCGAAGCACTAAGCACTGCTCTCCTGGAGAAGCCTCGTGGTGAATGGATGGGATGTCCTAAGTGCTGTGTGTGGCTTTTAATGATTTAAATCAACGATACAGTGTCAGTTCCTAGGGGGGCGGGTGCGAGGGCGGTGTATATAGCTCTATGGCAGTAAATAGTACATAATAATAGTTTAGAAATTACACATGTATCTAATATAAATATCTAATTATAAATAGTGTTACGATCGATCTTCCGAAATCATTTCTCTCTCTAAATGGTCAACAGTTGTTTTTTTGTTTTGCGTTTAGTAATCATTATTATTATAATTATTATCTCTGCTTAATTTTAGCCTTGCTCTAAACAAAATGAAACGCTAACAAATCCAAAAAATATGCAATGGATTGGGTTTGATCTTTGGGTAAACGAATGGAAATCGAGTTGGGAAATCGGGAAATCTCTAGGTTTTAATATCAATTTTGAGTCATTCTAGAGTCTAGGTCTTTCTTTAAATTTATGTATTTTTTTATTACTTTTCTTATTTTTAATTTCGATTTGCATTTAGCCGAGATTTTGCCATAATTTTTCGCTAAATCTCTTGTGGAAAACATTGATATTTATTCCCTTTTTTTCGATTATTTCGATTACTTATCGTCCCAGTGATCGAACCACATCCTTTTCAATCAAGTGAGGGGCGGGGTACTGTGAGTGTGTGAGTGTCGCTATCCGTTATGATATTTGAACTAACAGTTTTTCATACTTTTTTCCTCAAAAAATAAGATCTAAGCTCGGGGATGCTCCAGATATCCGTCCACGAAAACAGTTCTCCCTTCTTCTCTGGCTTAAGGCGTTGCAATCTACGTATATAAAAGCTAAGGTGAAGCTCCTCGAGCTTCCTCAAAGATTCCCTGCCTTAAACTTGGTACAAAAAAAAAGTAGTCTTCGTTTTCAAGGCCGACCTGCATCCCCTACCTGCTTCTTGCACTCCTCGAGGATTGCTCGGCCTCAGAAGGCCAGCCAGGGATGATGCAACAGCGACTCCTTGGACCGATCTCCATAATCGTACGTCAATTCCTCGCCCGGCTCAATGTCATCCTTGGCCAGGAGTACCAGGTGAGGGCGCTGTTTGATCACCACGACCTTGGTCATCAGGTTGCCGTTACGCGAATGATTGATGAGGCGTCCCAGCTTCCCAGTGTCCACGGTGGCATCGATGCAGTACTGCTGAGTCTTGTGCTTAAAGTAATACATGTAGCAGCCGGCGTTCTCGTCCAGCGCATATCGCTTCTCCCGCTCCGAGGCCTCGCTGATGGAGATGAGATCGCCGACATACTCCACCACAAACTCGTTGCGCTTAAAGGCTCGTTCGGCAATCACACCCCGGCCCTTGCCCATAAAGTGACGCACCTCGAGACCCTCGCAGCGCTCCTCGAGTATAGCCTGCTCCAGGCCCCGCATCCACTCCTCTTTGACGGCGGTCTTAGTCTTGCGTACGCTCCTTCGGACAGGAAAGAAGTCGGTCATCTCGCGATTACCATTTGTGGCAGCCAAGGGAAGCGGAGGCAGTTGACCTTTTGCAGGGCCCTTGCTTCTGGCCTTGGTCTTGGAAACGGGCGGTGGCTTGAGCATGGCTTTAACGCCCATTATGCCCACTTTGTTGTTGCTGTTGTTGGCTGTGACTGGTGCTTTGTTCTGGTTCTCCCGCTCCTCGGCGGCCTTCATCAGGGCATGACAATCGTCCTCATCCTCTTCCTCATCCTCATCATCGTCGTCGAGTACAACAACAATGTCGTCCTGCTGCTGCTGCTGTTGCTGTGGCGGTGGTTTCTTTAGCTGTGGTTGTTGTGGCTGCTGGTAAGGCGCTTGTGGCTTTGGCTGGTTCAGTCTTCGTCGCGACTTGCAGGCGGCCACTGCCGCCGTGGTGGCGGGCAGCTTGCGTGGCGATTTGCGCGGCGACAGGGGATCGGTGTTACCTCCTCCTCCTCCTCCCTTGCTTATCAACCCACCGCCTGCCGTCACCTTCAATGCGGTCTTGATCGGCGATGGGCAGAGTATGCGATGCGGTGTGGCTGGCTTTCGGCGTCGCACAGCTCCCGCTCCCGGAGCTGGTGATTCTGTGGCAGCTGTAAGTCCGCAGGCTACTCCACTGTCACAGGAGCTGGTATCGTGCTGATCAACCTCAAAGTTCGGTAAAGGCAGCACCGGTTCCTCCCTTTGCCCATTCAGACTGACAATCTGATTGAAGCGTCCGTTTAGAACGCAGGCATTAAGCACAGAGGGTGGTGATGAGAAAACTCCTCCGGCCACCTCAAAGCTGCGATTGATCTTGATGCTGGACGCTTTGGTGGGCGTCCGATCAATGTCCAGGGTAAGCACGGGCTCCTGCAGGAAGATGTTGTCGGTGCTGCTGCTGTGCGTGGAACTGTGGCTGTCCCGCAGCGTCGAACGGTGAGTCTGGAAGTCGGCCATGGTGCCCAGCACCTCCTGGATCTCATGTATCTCATGCATCTCTTGGATGTCCTGGATTTCTTGTATTTTCTGCATGGCCGCCACCTCATGCTGGTAGGGGCAAGGCGAAGTTGAGGAGGCCGTGGAGCTGCCATCGAACAGGAGTTCCTCTACCACCTGCTGTAGCTCCTCATTGAGCTGTTCATCCGATAGCTTAAGTTCCTCATCGGCATCGGCTAGCTGTAGGTGCAGCTGCTCCTCGTCCTCATCCTGCAGCTTCAACTCCTCCTCCGTCTCTCCAGTGGCATCTATTGTCTTTTGCTCTGCTTGGTGGTGATTTGTGGAAGTGGCCACCGAATTTGTGGTATGTTTGGCGGCGGCAGCGTTGGCTTTGAAAAAGTTCTCGATGGTACGCGTCTGCGAGCGAGTGGCCAGAGGCACCCCTGAAATGATGGCCAATATATGTAAGCTATGTAAGCTAACCTAAAAACGCGACGACGCGACGCAAACACTCACCTATTGTTCGGCCCGCTGCCTTGCTGTCTTTGTTGTTGTTATGGTTGTGGTGATGATGGTGGCCTCTGTTGGCCGCTGTGGCTTCCGGCAGATTGAGATTTTCGCTGGCCTTCATCAGGCGGCAGTCTTTCCGCTTCGGGCTGGCAAAATACTGATCCTCCAGCAGGCTGCCCGCCACAGCGGCGGCCGCATTAAGGGGCTGTCCCTCTGGGATTGCTGCTCCGCCATGTGTGTCCTTCGACTCCTTGGCGGGCCGTGCTCGTCTGCGCACCATTATCATTGGTATGGAGCGTAGGCGGGGGGGCGCGCGTGATCAGTGGGCGGCAGTGGGGTTGGCTATAGTTTTGTTGGCGCGTTTTTCCTGGACACGCGTTTCTTCCCCCGTCCCTCACACACACTCGCACACACTCGTGGAAAGCTGACTGCAATTAGCTGAGGGAAAAACAACCAACAAAAAAAACGGAGAACTCATAAAACATTCGCACACACTTTGTATATTACATGTGTGTTTTTTTTTTCGTTGTCGTTCTCCTCTCGCCGCCCCTCTGCGTACAGTTTTCGCCACAGAAAAAACGTCGCCCCGTTATTGTTGTTACTGTTGCTGCAGCTGCTGCGAAGCGAGCGAAAGAGGAAGAAGACCACAAGAAGAGAATGAAAGTCCGCGCTGTTGTTTACCTCGCTCGGGAAAGTGCCATTTTCTTAATTGTTTAAAATTAATTATCGCTTATGTGCAATGGCAGCATTTGGCTAAGCTATTAATTGCTGTTGCACTTTTCCGCAAACTTTTTTTTGTGTTCTTTCTCTCTTTGCGTCGGTACTAGTGGTGGGGCCACACCGACGATACTATCGCACGTGCGATGTCGCGGTATTTTGCGATACTTCAGAGGGGATAATAATTACAAAATATTAAAAGCTTTTTATTAGTTAAAACTACTATAATTTTGGAAATAAGATATTTAATTTATTATAATGTTAATCTTAAATTTAACTTTAATTTGAATATCGAATAACCGATACTGCAACTATCGTGATTATTTTTGCAAAATATCTCACACTTTTATTTATTTATGGGTTGCTCTGTGGAATCTCTTAAAATATACAATTATTTAATTAATTTACCCTTCATGCAACGCAAAATTAATTTTATTATATTTAATTTATGTATTATGTTGGCTTATCGAATACGATCGACCTTTCGAATATTGTTATTCTATGATAACGATGTTTCCGTGATCGATAGGCAAGATCTCGATCTCTTCGCTTGCGATTTCATTATTATTTAAGCATTCGATGCTTCAAAAACCTAGAAATAAGCGGTCTTAAAAGTAAACCATAATTTGTTCTCTCAGAATACGAAATATAAATCCGTTTATTCAATTCCTTTTTTTATCGGTCTCTTCGCTTCGTCCGCATTCCTTGGCTTTTTCGCGTCGGCGGAGTGCGGTAACATTGTTTGCATTTTCGCTTTTGGCAAAGTAAAAGATTCGCGCGTGAAAAGATTCCGCGCTGAAAGAAGTTGACAAACCAACACTTATCACTATAATACGGCAACAACAATATAGTTAAAAGTGTTGAAATAGTGTTGGCCACCAAACGCGTGTAAATGTGCGCTGGATCGCGAACCGCCAAGTCTGAAAAAACCGTTTTATTTTGCACGTCCAAAAAGGCGTGAAAATTTTCGGCGCCTTTTGAGTTTTTGTCACTGGCTGGCTAGGCTGGCTGGCGTTGTGAAATTTGCAAAGAACCGTTGCCTCCCTCGCGTGGATTAATTAGTGTTGGAATTTCCGCGAAAATAAGGTAAATCTGCCAATATGCCGATTTGCAAGCGGGACGGCTTCGACCTGAATCAGAAGGAGGGCAAGAACGAAACATTCCATGACAACGACCAAGTCTTTTGCTGCTACCTCACCAAGCGCATTTTTCGCGACTACGAGTAAGTGCATCCTCTATATCCTGTTCCCTTGACCCCGCCCCCTGGGCCCACCGAAAAGTGACGCCAAAGCAGACACTGCGCTAAAGTATACAACAAAGCGACGCTGCGAGCGCATGCATGTGATGTACATAGGCGTACATCACGGCGTTCGCTGTGTGTGTGTGTGTAAAAGCATGCGTGTGTGTGTGTGTGGCGAGTCTCGTGGGCCTGGGGCACAAACAACGCTGTGGCGGTGGCGGGAACATTTACAGCTGCCGCCAGAGACAGCTGTTCCCGCGGCGTTGCCACCTGGCGGAAAAGAGAGCGCGCCAAGGGAATGTTTTGAATTTTATGCAAATCTTTGAATTTATTAATTTTCCTGCAGCAATTACTTCCGGCACGTGATGGTAATCAACTCCACGGTGTGGCAGTGCGAGGCCACCGGCAAGGACAGCCTCACCTTCGAGGAGGCCCGGAAGAGCGAGCGAGCGGCCCGCAAAAAGATGGAGCAGTTCAAACAAAGCCTGCGGGCACCCGTGCTACTCGTAGTGGAGCATGCCCGCCAGTCGGCGGTCAATACACTGAACTTGCTGGTGGCCAAGTTCCTGCGCAAGCGTTACTTCATCGGCGAGGAGGTGACGGTGCTGGGCAAGAAGAACACCACCTACAAGGTGGTGGGCATTAATATGAACAAGGCCGTGCCTGAGCCCAGTAATGGCATCTACGAGGACACCGATGCCCTGGTCTATCGCCTGCGAGCCCTCAAGGGCGATGCCAGCACAGAGATCGATGTGCCCTTCAATCAGTTGCGACGAGCTCGCTTGGAGTTCAACATGGAGAACCTGAGCATGTTCATCAAGAGCAATGTCTCTCGCGTGGATGGTTTGCTGCGACCCAAACCCGATGCCTACAAGCAGTATGTCACGGATCCCGGCGTGAACTTCTCCAGCATTTTCATAGGCAAAATGCCGCGATATTCCCCCTCCAAAATCAAGAAGCCCGATGCCAAGAAGCAGTCCACTCTAAACAAATTCATTGTGACCGATGAGCAATCGGCTGCCAAATCCAAGGCCAAGGCCAAGGCAGATGCAAAGTCGCTGGCAGAGGAAATGGAGCGGGTGCGACTGGAGAAGCAGGTGAGGCTGGTGCAAATGGAACGGGAGAAGGCGGAGAAAAAGGCACAGCTAATGGAGCGCGTTGAAACCGAATGCAATTCGCTGCTCCGCAAGACCGATGACCTGGAGCGATCCGATCAGAAGCTGCTTCCCCGCTACAACCAGATTGTCACACTCCTGCCCCAGCGACTGCTGGGCGATGCCTTCATGATGCGCGAGTTTATGCACACGTACGCGGGCCTACTATCTGGTATAGAGGTTTTCCGACAGAATATCAGCTTCTACGAGATGACCCGGGCGCTGAGTGCCCGAGAGATTGCTGGGCCACTGTCTGACATCCTGCTTGTGCTCCTGGGCACTGTTTTCGATCTGCAAAAGGAGGAGGAGGAGGAGTGCACGGTGACCTATCTGGATAGGATATCCCAGCACTCGGAGCCGTATCGCAGTATGTCGCAGGCCGCCCAGTGTCACTACTACTCCAAGAGGCACTTCTCCTTCAAGGTAAACGAACTCCCACTGGATGCATTGACCCTCAGTGAAGTCCTGCGTCTGCATTTACTGGGCTCTGGAGCCGTGGTCAACGAGAAGGCCGAGCGTTGGCGGGTGATGTACCGCAATGGCTATTCCTCAAAAGAGGATCCCGGTCTGGAGCTGCGCTTGAAACACGCTCACATTTTGCGAGCTTTGAAAAACCAACCCGTTTATAAACTAAAGTTCAGCGATATAATGCTTTTGATCCGCTGCCTCATGTCCCAGATACTCACCTATTCGGGAACCATTAATCTGATTGAGGAGCGTCTGGAGCAGATGGCCAAGGCCAAGCAGGAGCTGCGAGCCCTCGTCTCAAATGAAAACAAACGTCTTGCCGCCGTGGAGGTCAACAGAAAGAAGCTTAACCAGACGCATCAGCAGGCCATTGGAGGCGTGGAGCCCACCAAGAAGGATGCCATGGTGGACAAGCTGAACAAGAGCATTGCCGAACTGCATGCCCAGTCGGAGCATCAGCACAGGAAGCACGAGCAGCAGGTTTTGGAGCTGCATTCGCAGCTTTTTAACTTTCTGGTCTACCTGGGCATGGATCGTTGTTACCGGAAGTACTATGTCCTAGAGTCCATGCCAGGCATCTTTGTGGAGCACTCGCCGGATAGCTTGGACACGTGCCTGGAGCAACCGCCACTAAACAAATCGCAAACGGAGATACGGCATCAGGCTCAGTTACCCAAGAATCGCAAGGACTTGCGGCTTTATCTCCTAAAACTGTACGGAGATGATGACAAGAAGACCAGGAGAAGCAACAAACAATCGCTGGAGAATAAGGAGAATCAGGAGCATCGCTTGAATGGGACTGCAGAGCCCATGGAAGTGGATGCAGATCCTCCCACAGCTCCCACACAATTCGAATTGATGATGTGCAGCGGCGACAAGCACAACTGCATTGTTCATGACCCGAAAAATGGCCAAAGGCAGCGATGGTCCTACATCTACAAGCCGGAGGAGATCGATAATCTAATAAGGGGTCTCAATCCCAATGGTCTAAGGGAATCGGAACTCCTGCAGGAGCTTACAGTGATGCGTTCCCTCATCGAACAGCATGTGAAGACCTGCCCCGTGGAGGTGCTCCAACTGGAGAGTGAGCCGATGCGCAAGAAGTTCCTGGCCACCATGCACTCTGAGACCCATCGCAAGTACGGTGAGGCCAACTTTGGAGTCCCACCAGACACCGACTTGAATGAAGTGATGCGCCTGCACTTGGCGGATCGCCTACTGCAGTTCGAAACTGATATCTACACGGGAGATCTTGGCAAGCTGAAGGTCAAAGATATGGAAAAGTGGCGAAATGATTTGCTCACCGGCCACTATGATCCCCAGGGTAAGGTGCAGTGGGGACCGGGCGGTAAGCTGGAGGATGAGGTGGCCAACGGTTCAACAGACAATGAGTCACATGAGGATCATGCGGAGGTCGGAGATGAGGAAAAGGATGGTGCATTGGTGGGTAAATACGCCAAAAAGCCATATCGCGATCCTGGCCATTTTTTGGTGGCCTCCGACGAGGAAGAACCCTCTGCAGCAGATAGCGAAGATGAGGTTGAGGAGGAGGAGGCTGTGACTGATATACCCAGCGAGGTGCACAACATGGCCTCGGCTCTGCTTCAAGTGGAGCAGGCCATTGGTAAGCGTTTCCTCAAGGAACCCTACGGCATGAAAAAGTGGGATCCCAAGCAGGAGGCCCAAAAGCTCGCCTGTGAGGCTCGTCTGCATCAGTGGGAGGTCTCACTGATGGCCAGCACCAGCTTTGCCCAGGTGTTTCTACACCTGAATGTCCTGCACGATTGCATCCAGTGGCGACGCTCTACCAACAAGTCCCTCTGCAAGGTGTGCCGGCGTGGCAGCGATCCTGACAAGATGCTGCTCTGCGATGAGTGCAACGGCGGCACTCACATGTTCTGTATGAAACCCAAGATGAGGACGGTGCCACAGGGTAACTGGTATTGCAAGGATTGCGTCAAGGATCATGGCCTGAAGAATGCCCAAAACGAAAAGGATAAGAAACAGGCAGCGGCCAAAAAGAAGCGCAAGTTTATTGTGGAGGACGAGGAGGATGATGAGCCCGAAGAAGAAGAGGATGAAGAGGACGATAATGATGATGATGAGGAGGAGGAGGATCAGGAGGATGAGGAAGAAGAAGAGGAGGAGACGGCCGATGACAAGAGCGAGGCCTCATCACGTACTTCAGTCAAGCTCAATGGCCGTCCAGCGAGGGGTGTGCGCACAAGTTTACGCGCCAAACGGCTCACATCCAAAGAAATCGATGAGGAGGTCAACGGTGAGGCAGTGGGCAGCGAAGCGGGCGATGAGGCTTCTTTGGAGGACAACGAAGAGGAGGAGGAGGCGTAAGTTTCTTACTTAGAAGTCCATATATCTTTTACGTATAATAATTTATAAATTCTTGCCAAACAGCGAAGAGGAAAAGGTCTGTCAAACCTGCTTTTATGACGGCAGTGAAATCCGCTGCGTTCGCTGCAGTTTGTACTATCACCTGGAGTGCGTTCATCTTAAGCGACAGCCGCGCTCAGAATTTGTGTGCAAAAAGTGCAAGACCACGGAGACACAACGTCCCAGACGCCGTCATAGTCACAGTGAGTTTAAATTTGCTAAATTATGCATAATAAAGTGTATTTTTATTAGTTAGTAAAACGAAATTACATATTCTAATATATATCCTTTATTTCTACCCTAGTGAACGGTGATAATGACGACGATCATGATCAGGATGAGCCGCAGGCCAAACGCTCTCGTTCCTCCCGCAACTCGATGCGTCTCTCCCTCGACAAGTCCGCCCGCCAGAGCAATGGCAACAACAACAATAACAACAGCAGCACCAATAACAACAACAATCACCGGCGAAGTGGCCGACGGACGAACGAGAACAACAACCTGCCGTTGAACAGCTCCGCCTTGTACGATCTGCTGGAGCAGATCATGAAGCACAAGGCGGCTTGGCCATTCCTGCGACCAGTGCTGACATCGGAGGTGCCCGACTATCATCAGATCATCAAGACGCCCATGGACTTGGCCAAGATCAAGTCCAAGCTAAACATGGGCGCCTATCAGCTGAACGAGGAGGTACTCAGCGACATACAGTTGGTGTTCAAGAACTGCGACATGTACAACGAGCAAGGCAACGAGATATACGAGTGAGTTAGCGCCCAGACTTTCTTTTATTTGCCATTTGATGTTAATATTCTTTTCTGTTATCCTCAGTGCTGGCTGTCAATTGGAGCGTTTCGTGATGGGCTGCTGCAAGGAAATGCAACTGCCATTCAAGCCCAGCGACATGAACGAGGGGGAGGCCGCCGCCTGCTGAGCCTGCTGCCATCGTAGCGCTGATCTCTGCCAGCCCAGCCGATCGTGTGTAAATTAGTTAGCCGTAGTTTCAGTTCGTTCCGTAGGCTTAAGCACAAACAAACATTCAATTATCCTAGACTTAAGTGTACTCTCTAATCTATGTTTAATCTTAGCGAGCAAGTTCAAAGTTCAGCGCAAGCACGCACACACACAAGGCAAGAAAAGCAAATTCGTTTCTGTTGATTTTTCGAGACTTTTTATTTATGTATTCATAAATTATTGTAGACACAAGTATAACACACAGGTTCCACAATTAATAAATGAAGTGAGTGAAAAAGAAATTAACGATTTGAATTAATTATTTGTTTAGTTTTAGTAAGGCTTAACCTGGATATAGAAGCGGTAAGTAAAGAAATACAACTTTTTTTGAGGCTTCCCAGCAGACAAAAAGCGGTGATAAGGACAAAGAATCTGATTTTCCGCATTAGTTCTGCTTAATGCTCAAAAACGGACGCGCAAACAGACGAATAGCGAACAAGTATAGCAAGGATTTCAGGATTATATCCGATAACAATGTGAAAGGTCAGCAAACGAAATCTTATTTTCGGCCACAAAACCCATGACAGGTGAATCGAACGTTTTGTCCGCTTGAAACCCGCAAAACTATCGTTTTCAATATCATAAACGAACGTTTTGTCTGCTGGGTTACGCTAAAAAGTAAAACTGATTAGTTGATAATTGGTAAAACACTGAAGGAATAGAAATTAACCTAAAAAAAATACATTGATGATATTGATTAGTTTTATGAAGTTTTTAAAACATTTAAATCACATGATTTACTTGCGAAAACAATAAAAAAAAGGGTACATGAGGATGGAATAAAAATTCCGAAATGATATCGAAAATATCGAACACTTTTGTTATCGAAATTTTCTTTCATTCAGTTTATAATACTTTCCATGAAAGCTATGCCTTTATGTTTAATGTGTGTGGTTTCAAAAGAGATCCAAAAGAAGGATGGGTTGTGTTGCTTATCAAAATGAAAGTTCAGCCTATGAAGCTGGGTTATATCTTAGCTTAAATGTAATATATATAGTATGTATGTGTATGGGGTCCAGTCTACATGGACGAAGATGTTGTCGAAGCGGTCGATTCCGTATTGCACATGTCCGGAATCAGGCCATTGACGACGCTCTTGGGAGGATGATTGTGGTTGGAAGTCAGCTGGCTATTGTTGTTGGCCTCCGGTTCCGCTAGGAAGGGAAACGAGCTGGATGTGCTGGGAGCCTGAGACAATTGCGCCTCCATGGAGGTCATCGATGTGGTGGTGTTGCTGCTGCAGGAGCTGCCACCGCTGCTGCTGCTGCTGCTGGTACTGGCGGTATCCTCGTCGGCCTGGCCATAATGGTTGCTGTTATTGTTATCCCCTGTGGAAGGCTGCTCCTCCTCGTCCAGGTATTCGGTGTCATTGGAGGCGACACTATCGTTGTCTGGATGGGATCCAGAAAGTTGCCGACGATTAGTACGTCTGTGTTTGAGGACTGAAACCCGCTGATGCGACTTCTTCCGCTTGCGTTCACTTGGCCCGAGGGTGGACTGCAGGGGGTCAACTGGAAAATATGAATTAATTATTTATTTATTATTATTTATTATTTTATTCTTATAAAACCTGTGCTACCTATTGTTTTTAAAGTTTGTGGCACGTTTCAAGTCCTTATCAAGAAACTAAACCACAACATAAACACCAAGTCATAGTTGGAAGTCAAGCAGAGTCAACAAACCCCAGGCACTTGCCAATAATTGTTGGTAGCAATATGCCCCAAGGTGTCAGCGTTTTTGACACTAAGCAAATACTTTGGCTAGCAGGATGTCAAGCCCCACACTCGGGTATCCTTTGTATTCTGTCCTGTCCTATTGTTAGCTGCACAATCTCAGTCGCGGGTTCAGTAACCATTGATATGTCGGCGACTCTGCAGCTAATTATGCTGCTGACCCTTGTGGGAGGAACCCTGGGTCAAGCCAATAACACGGACAAGGACTGCAGGCAGGTGTTTGGCTCCATTTTGGCCCAACTGGAGGGTGGCCTTGAGCTTCATTTGAGGAGTTACAGTGATGCAGACCTGGGCATTGTGCAGTTTGTGTTGAAGCAGCCGAGGAATTCAGTGCAAATCAAAGTGAATTCTGAGGAGGAGAATGAGAAGGAGGAATTTACGGCCATGCGACATCATTTCTTTCTCTTTAAGGATGTGAAGGATATGCAACAAAGTCGGAATAACTTGATAAATACCGATGGCTTTTATATACTCTCCCTAGAGAATCAGTTGCCTGAGGATGATCAGATTTTAAAGGACTTTATGTCCCAAAACTGGCTACAACATGGTCATAGTCGCATTTACTATATTCAGCTAAGTACAGGTCGTATTCTGCTCTACAATCCCTTTCAGCAGAGCATTGTTTGGGTAAAGGATCCCAAAACTTATGGTCAAATCTATCAGAATCTCAATGGCTATCCTTTGCGTATATACATCTTCGATTCTGTTTACTCGGCTGTCTTGGGAGATGGCGAAAACAAGAAGGTATTGAGCGTCACAGGAGCGGATGCCAAGTTGGCCAAAACAGTGGCCAAACAATTGAATTTCACAGCGGATTATCTATGGCCGGATGATGAGTTTTTTGGGTAAGAGAAACCTTTAAAAGGCATCTTGCAATTTTATAGCAATTTTTATTTTCTAGTGGTCGCCTGCCAGATGGTTCTTTTAGTGGCGGCGTGGGTCGTGCTCATCGAGGGGAGGTGGACATCATCTTTGCGGGCTTCTTTGTCAAGGACTACCTCACCACACAGATGCAGTTCAGTGCCGCTGTATACATGGACGACTTGTGTCTGTATGTGCAAAAGGCTCAAAGGATTCCCCAGTCCATCCTGCCGCTCTTTGCTGTCCACACGGATGTGTGGCTCTGCTTCCTGCTGGTGGGTCTCCTGGGTGCTCTGGTCTGGCTCTTGTTAAGGCTTCTCAATCTCAGACTAAACATCGAAAGGATACAGGATGATGGAGTAAGCAGAGATTCTTATTTAAGGACAGCTGCCAGACGCATCTTCATAGACACTTGGGTGGTCTGGGTTCGTGTGAATATCGGCCGCTTTCCACCCTTCCACTCGGAGCGCATTTTTGTGGCTTCGCTGTGCCTGGTCAGTGTGATATTCGGTGCCTTGCTGGAGTCCAGCTTGGCCACTGTTTACATCCGACCCCTGTACTATAGAGATACGAATACCATGAGGGAACTGGATGAGAGCGGCCTCCCTATTTACATCAAGCATCCTGCCTTCAAGGATGACCTCTTTTATGGCAGTGACTCGGCGGTGTATCGACGGTTGGACTCCAAAATGATGCTGGTTGCCGAGGGCGAAGAGCGACTCATCGAAATGGTGTCCAAGAGGGGACATTTCGCTGGGGTAACACGCTCCGCCAGCTTGGAGCTGAGTGACATCCGGTATGTGATGACCAAGAAAGTGCACAAGATACCCGAGTGTCCCAAGAGCTATCACATTGCCTATGTCCTGCCACGTCCCTCGCCCTATTTGGAGGAGGTGAACCGGATAGTCCTACGCCTGGTGGCCGCTGGTATCGTTGGACTTTGGACGGGCGAGACCAAGGAGCGGGCCAAGTGGAGCATTCAGCGTTTCCCGGAATATCTGGCTCAGCTAGACGTTGGGCGGTGGAAGGTGCTCACCCTCTCCGACGTCCAGCTGGCCTTCTATGCTCTGAGTATAGGGTGTATACTGGCGGGAATTGTGTGTCTGGCGGAGATTTTTCTGAGGCGTAAGCGCAGGAAGTTGCGACGGAACAACAATCTCAATTTAGGTCATAAGTTTGCCTTTTATGATTAGATTTTTATCACGTTTTTCAACAGTTTCTGAAATATATATTCCCTAAAAAAAGGCTTAATCTTACCTGCTTTCAGTTCCTGCGTCCTGCGTGGACTCCTGCCAGTTTGACGATGCTGCTCCCTTGCTGCCGCCTCCGCCGAGGTGGTGGGCAGCTCATCATCTCCAAAGAGGCGCTGCGTCTCCTCCAGCCAGTCGCTGATGCGCGCCTGTGTGGCCGCCTGTTTCTGCTCGCCAAGCAGCCGCTGAAGCAGTTGGTCCACGCTGCGCGGCATCCCGGTGGTGCCCCTGACCGCCAGTTGGAGCAAAGCCCTCCGCTTCTTGGCTATCAAATAGAAGATGCGATTGGGATGAGTCTGCCAGCTAAGTTCACTGACATTGGGCGTGTCGTTGTCCTGCTCATTATCCTGCTCCTGTTCATTGGTCGTTGGCTGATCGTGATTGTGATGATCCGGATCCTCGCGTTCCTCATCGCTGGGCTCCTCCGCTCCCGAGCTAAGCTCACTGCGCTCTGTTGAGGTTTCCGAACTGCTGCTGCTGCTGCTGCTCTGATTGTCCACAGTGCTCCAGGACTCCAGTTCACGCTGCACCAGAGTGTCGAAGAAGGCCAGCATCACCTGATCCTCGTCAGTGTTGCGGGCACTAAAGTCTTGAGAGACATAATCCGAGGAATTGCGGTGGAGAGTGCGAGTGCAATAGGGCAGCTCTTCGGCCTGGGTGAGGGAACCCTCCCAGCCTTGTTGGGCAAATGGGCTCCACAGCTTAAGGGGGGGGGAGCAGGATTATAGAAATATTAATTTAAGGATTCCTGCTGCCTCGCCCAACTTACTTTAATGATCTTTTCCACGCCCGAGGAGGCCAGAAGGCAGCGCTGGCGATTATAGCGCACCTGATTGACTATGGATCGGTGGCCGGTAAGGATAACCGGTGGAGTGTCCACCCACTGGTTCTTCTCCTCCACTGAGACAAGAAAGACGGATTATTTTACATTTAAAGAAAACTTTAAATTTGTTTGGTTTAACTCACAATCCACTCCATCCATTCGCCAGATAAACATGTTAAAATTATCCGAACCGGAGACCACCAGCTCATCCTGTGGCCCCGCAAACGTGCAGCTCTTCATGGTGCAGGAGTTAAAGTATTCGTCATGATAGAAGGTGGCCACCGGCTCTGGTGATCCCGGACTAAAAAGTATCGGCGGCAGACGCCGATGTAGGGTCAGGAGCAAGGTGCCATTGCAATTGAAGCGAACACTCATGCAGCTGGGAGACTCCGGGATGTAGTTGTATTGGCACAAGGCCCTGGGAGAACACACAGAATTAGTAGCTTAAAATACCCCGAATACCGCAATGGAAACTCACTGCTGATGATGCCTCAGGTCCCAGAGCATGGCGCCTCGCTTGGCATTGGCCGTGGCCAGAAAGTTGCCATTTAATGGATGAAACTCCACGGCATTGAAGGGTGTCTTGAATTTGGCAATGGCCAATGGCTCGGATTTGCCTGCCCTTAGGTCGTAGACTAGGATCTCGCCGTGCTCTGTGGCCACGCTGAACAAATGACCACTGGTCCTGTCCACACTCAGTCCGTAAACGGGCCCGTCGTGGGAGAAGTGCCTTAGGAGTGTGCCACTTTTAAGGGGGAAAGCAAGAGAGAATTTGAAAGATACATTTACATATTTATTAATTAATAATTAATAATTTTTATTAATAAGTTAATTATTTCTATGCCATTAATATATTTTTTAATTTTTTTCTATTTAGATATGTATATTTTTTACATATATTTTTCTTAGTAAAAATATATATTTATATTCAATTTATTTTTGTTTATTTCAAAACGGTTCCTTTTTGTTCATTTCTGTTCATTCTATTTCAAATTTATTCCAATTAATTCCATTGATTTTTTAAATTCAAGATTATAATATATATAATATTTATTTAATTTTAAAATATTTTATATTAATTTCTCATTATTAATTCTATTGTAATTTTATTTTATTTGTATGTTCTATTAGTTAAATTTGTTTCTTTTTAGTATATTAATTTTAAACAAATCATTTGATTCTAAATATTTCTTATATATAATTTATTTTTTAAATAAATATTAAAGAAAAGATATAAAAATCTAAAAAAAACTTGGCTAGAAGTCGAAAAAAGTGTAGTTAAAACCCATAAAATTTCCAATAAAAATAAAATCACTTACGTGACCAGATCATGTTGGATGACCAAGTCATCGTTCCCCCCAGACAGTATATAAGAGTTCTGGATATCAAATCCCAGACAGAATATATTGCTGGCATGCTTCACGTTCATGGAGCGAGGTTTCCCCAATTGGGAGGCTACCTCCCGGTCGATGTTCCACAACAAAACGCGCTTGTCATCGCCACCTGGAGGATTACAAAGGGATTAATTTAGATGTTAGAACGACTAACCAACAGGTTGCCGGCACCACTACTCACCGGAGGCCAGTAACTGTCCTCCTTGGCTGAACTCCAAGGCATTCACGCAGCCATAGTGACCGGTTAGGTTGCGCTGATACAGATTCTCAGCGGCACTGAGACGGTGCCGGAAAATGGCAGCAGGCAGGTGGCCAGCCACCAGTTGGTTCTCCCGCTGGCCCAGGGCCAGGTCAAGATTCCGGGTCTCCAAAGAGCGCAGATTCTGCCACAGGCTCATAATGCCGGCAGGGATTTGGATAAGGATTTGGATTTGTTTTGGAGTTTCTCACAAGGCGAGCGGCTAGGGCTGGGAATTCGGATTACGCTGTGGCTTCCAGGGGGCCAGCGAAGCACACATATCGCCCCTCACTTCACCTCACACTCCCACTGTTGCCGTTGCTGCTGCTGCCACTGCTGCTACTCTTCACTTTTTCACTCGACTAAATCTTGCGTTTAAATTCGAGCTGAAAACTCTTATTTTTTACATTTAAACAATCACTTAAACAGCCAGAAATTGATGGTGAAATGTATTTACAAGTTGCTAAAGTAAAGCCACGAAATCGGAGCTGCGACGGACTGGTTTAATCATTGCTGCTCGCTCCCCTAATCAAAATGTTTTCCAGAAAGTATACAAACCGAGAAACCAACGAAACAGCTGTTCGCCCAGCTAGCGACAGTGGGGCGAGACCGGGCGAAAAGTGGCCTCACCTTGTGCTGATGGTAGCAGAAAGGTAGATCAAATTGACAGTCTTTTAAGGATTAAAAAAACATGTATTCTTAAATTTAAGTTAAGTATTTGCAAAGATTGATTTCTGATGGAAACGTAGCTTTCGGAAAATGAAATAACTTGAAATATTTGTTGTTGATTACTAGATCCCTATTTTGTTTACTATATCTATTTTATTTTTTAATGATTTATTGTATTTTTATCCCAATGAAACAAGATACAATATCTTGTAGAATAAATCGTTAATCACAATTAGTATCCTAGAATAATTTTTAATTTTCCATTTTTACCTAATATTTGTGGTCTAAAATCAATTTGAAAAACTAAGTAAAACTCTACATTCTGAGAACGAATTCCATCAATAAATAAAACCAATTAAAAGTAATTAAATTCCATATGAATCAAAAAGCTATAGATCCTTTTTTAAACAAACATTTAATTAAGTTTCTCGTAGCATTTTTGAAGCATATCGCGGTAATCAAGGGAAATAACACACAAAATCTACAGCACACAAAATCTATCCCACCTCTTGTGGGAATTATGACACTTTTCCTCCTGAGTTCGTGTGATTTTTTATGAAAATACCATTGCTTCAGTAATATTTAAGTTGAAAAATTTAGGTAAAATACCTTAAATGTTCCCAAATTTTAATACAAATAACATTTAATAACTTGTCATAAAACAACTAATTTATTTTTCACCACATCTTAATATAAAGAGGTAAATGCTTAAATATTTTGAGCCCCCTCCATGCTTCGCAGTATTTTCTGATATCACCTCCAACAGTCATCAGATTTATAAAACTCGCCATTCACGTATTTTCTCAGGTATTGTCTTCATTGTGACGATGGAATTACAAATAGGAAAATAGGGAAATATCACACACTAAACTAGCATACAGTAAAATCTTCTATAAATTCACGCTGCATCCCTGGATATGTCAGCAGCTTGTCTGTGCGGCCTGGAACAGATTCGAGTAGTTAATGGCAAAGAATATGGCCACCGCACCGATTGCCGAGCCCAGCTGCGTGATGGCGCCCACCCAGACCAGCGACTGGCCACCCTGAGCCCGCATCACGGTGGTGATGCCCAGCTTCGTGTAGCTAACGATTCCCACCAGCAGGGTCCAGGCGGTAACCACCAGCACGGCGCCCACTGTTTGATCATGGAGCGGCGGCAGAGGACTCAGGGCGGCCGTGGTGAAGACGTAGCTGGTCAGCAGACCCGCCAATATAGAGAGTATCGTGATGAGACGCAGCGATGTGAAATGCAGAAACATGGCCATGAAGCAGGCCACCGGATTGGCAATCACACTGAGCGTGGCCGCCAAATGGTACGCCTTTGAGCCGTAGGGAGCACTGGAATAGGACTGAATGCTGCCAAACATTCCGTTGCTGAACAGCGATATGGCCCCGATCAGGAGGAGCAGGTAAGTGTATTGTCCCTTCGAAAGCTTCTCCACTTTTACAGCCTGCTGCTGGTTATCCGCCTCTCCGTAGACGTACTTGTTGCCCTCGGTGACAGTAACCTGGGCATATTCCCGCCTAGCCACGGGCAGCGAATTGAGCAGGGTGTAGCCCACATAGCTGAGGACCATCAGTCCGAAGAGGATAAGGAAGAACACCCGGGTATCGAACCTTGGTGGTGTCTTCAACAGCTCGTAGATAGGATCTCCCGTTTCGGTTACATTCACCAACGTGCACTCGCCACTCTCACCGATGCCCTGGATCAAAGCAGTCACACTGGGCAGCAGCCCGCTCAGTCCCTCGCCAATGAAGTAGGTGACCATGTACTGTTCCTTGAAGCGACCCATGTAGGGCATGAAGAGCACAGAACTAGTGCAGGCATTCAGAGCCGTAAAGCAGGTCAGCACAAACAGGGCCACACTGTGATCCGTCCCATTGACCGGAGCAGTTCGGTTGTAGAAGAAGGCGGTCAGCAGGCAGGAGATGGCACCCACTAGCAGCACTCCATGGATGGTCCAGCCATCGTTCAGTTTCTTTGGCGAATATTTCTGAATGGCCGTGTAGAGCAGGGGTCCCAGGTTCCCGATCTGCACCATCACGCTGAGGTACGAGGGCAGACTCCAGCCCTCTGGGGCTTCATCCACCAGCAGAGGTAGTTGTATAAAGGTTCCATTGACGCCCAGCCAGGTGCCGATGCCAAAAAAGATGGCCAATAGATCGACGATCCAGCTGCGATCTCTGAATTTCGACCCTAACTCCATGGTCTGCTTTTTGGGGTCTCCCCAGTTGAGGAACAAGCTCAGTTCACTCTTCCTCACCTCAAGTGGAGGGCATCTGTGGGTGGGAAAATGAAGATTAAAGATTAATTTCGTAAGAAAAGTTCAAATGAAGATAAAAGAAAACTGTTGAGAGGGGGTTACAACATCGGAAACATGGTGTATCTTATCTTATAACTTCTATTTGTAGAAATATAGGTCACAAGATTACTATAAATAATTTAAAGTAATCTGTCTTGCTTGCCGATTTTTGATTTGGATTTTATTACAATTTAAATAAATAATTTGTAAACTAATGCAGTTTAGTTTAGTCTATAAAAAACACTATTTAAAGCTCGCTAAATGATATTATCTTAGGTTTATGGCTCTACGTTTGTTTGGTGTTATTTTCGTTTAATGCTTCAAAATGTCTGTCTTACCTAATTTTGTTGTTTATTTATATTTAAATAAAAAACTTAAAAACTAAAGTAATTTTCACACTCTCTAAAATACACTATTTAAAGCTTGCTACATTGTAGACTACTTACTATATGATATTTTCTTAGGTTTATGGCTCTACAAATCACAAACGTTTATTTGGTGTTACTTTCGCTCAATGCTTCAGATAAGGTTTTAAAAACTCATTATTATCAGGCAGGTTGTGGCATTTACAGTTCATTATATTTGTCTTTTGGACAGATAACCGAGAAGTAATTGCGATTAAAAGAGGGTTTTGTGGTTTAACATTACATATTTGTAGGCTGAGGAATTTTTTACACTAGGAAAAAAAGGCTGTTTCTATTTAAAGCAAAATTTGGACTATTTAAGCAATAACGTAAATATTTCTAGCATAGATTATTTTAGTAAAGCGGATGCTTGATTTAAAAAAATATAAAATTACTTGTGAAAAGGTCCATAAAATAAATATCTATTTAAAAGGAATATCTTTAAGGTAAAAAAGTTAAATAAATAAGAGTACTTTCTCTAGATACTTCTATTAATTTTTAATTTTCCCATTCTTACAACTTTAATTATGTGAATTTAAATATCACTTATCAAAAATAATTATTAAATTTTCCTACCATTAATCACTTCGATTGGATAGCCAATTATAGAAATAAAAAGTTTAAGTTCTTAAGATATATCCATCTAGCCGCTAATCTTATTTTCGAGTGATATTGAGTGGTGTGCCGGTGGTCACATACGATCCGCATCTAATCTGCTAATTCAATTAATTGGGACCATATTTCCATGGAGTGCCGTTGTCTGCACGTATCTGGCTGAGGACGATAAGAATCGCAATTGGAAACGGAATCCACTTAACCCACAGCCATAACAAACTTTATTAATTACAAAACTTTATCTTTTTTTTGGAGAAATTTAAAAATGATCTTGTCTAAATTAACATCCTTGAAAATCCAATTCTCATATGAGGATTAATAGTGATGGAGTTTTTAAATTGACTTACATGATTAATTACATTTTTGTATAATTTTAAATAATATTTTAATATTAATTTTTTGAAAAATTAATGACAGCCTTTAATTTCTTTTGAACTGTTGTTTTTCTTTTTGAATAAAATAAAATAATAATGGTTTATATAAAGTCAGAAATGCTTTAAAATGGGGTTAGGTTCTGAATCTTAAGCTTAGAGTTAACTTCTACGATTTTTCTATAATTTTAAAGTTTTAAATTCAGTATTATGATTTAAAGACCCTTTCGGGGGAAAATGGGTTAAATTTTGATAAGGTGTTAGGATCATAAACAAATGTCTAACTATTTTGTGAAGCTATTTTGGACTCGTGTTTTTAATTATAAATGAGTAAAAAATGTGATATTGTGGTTAAAGAATTTTTCAGAATTTGTATATTACTTATTTATTTATATTTACTATTTTACAGACTTTATAAAATAAAACATTACATTTTTTATAAAAAACAAACTATTTCATTATAAGGAATATGGGTTTATTTTAAAGAAGACTTTAAAAAAGTTAATATTTTATTCTATTTTATAGTAAGTAGTTAGTAGTAATAGTAAGATTATCTTCAAAGGGAAAACCCAGTTACTATAAATTCCTTGCCAAAACAAAAATATAACTTATCAAAGTAATATAGCAATTGAAAATGGAAACCATGACTAAAACTATTTTTAAAAACAATAACGCCTACGATAGGGGAATTTTCCCCAATAAATAGTTTATTGACAACTTAGCTTTGACCCTATGGGTTAAAGTTGCACAGTCACCATATTGGTCATTAATCATATAACCAAATTTGGAGAAAGATACTCAGCCAAAAGAAAGCTTTAAAGCCCGACTCCAAACTGGTTTTGGTTCTCCGTCTCTCTTTCTCGGCGAAAAGAGCGTCAGCAAAAAACCAAAATAAAGCCAACGGCAGCAGAAAAAAAGTATGATTTTTGGGGCCACTTACCTGTCGAAATCCGCGGGATTCGAAGCGGCGTCGTCCAACGTCGAGACCACGCCGTAGACTGGCCCCGGAGACCCACCACCAGTGGCTCCTCGGCTCTTGCTCTGCACCTGGTACCGGCTCATTTTCGAAGTGTACTCTTTCAAATTAATTTATGATCTCCGCGGCGATTAGATTTCTTGATCCCCAGTCTTTAGTGGCTGTGTAGCCACTGTGCCGCTTGTACGATGGGATGCGCAGGCCAAAAGCGTTAAATTTCTGCCTTGAATCGATTTTAATAAAATCAATTGGCAAAAATCAATTGGTGGGGTTAATTAGCTTCGTTGAGAGGGATGGGGGCTCCAGTTACAAATAAATAAAAACAAAGTCGTAGCTCCAATTTTCCCCACCGAATTATGCAATGTTGTTGCTGGAGTTTTCAGTGGCGCTGTCAATGGAGGCGGGTGCCGGAATATCGAGAAGGTATAGAAGAAAAGCTAGGGAAAAGCGCGACCAGCTTCTGTGAATTTTATTGGCCATTTGAGGGGGCTAATCGCGGAATTTAAACTTTTTGAAGTAAACAACGTTTGGCGAGTGTATGGGAAATAACAGCTGTTTTCGATTACTCGAATATCGAGGGTTTTGTATCGATAGTTGTATTACAAACCCAATTGGACCAAGCAGTTTCTGAATGGAGCAAAGCAGTTCCGGTCGGATTCCGGCGGCACTGCCGGAATTCAAATCCGGATTCAACGGCCGATGAAGTTTGGGGTAAGCTTTAGTTTTTCCTGCTAGGAAACGGAGGATTAAAGTACCAAGGACTTATATACTTTTTTATTTATTATTACTAAATTGTTATATTTGCTCCCTAAACACTTAAATACTTTTCACTGACCCTGTTCCTGTTCCCCCTCCACCTCCGAGATCGAGCCATTCTCCAGCCCAGACTCATTCAAGCTGTCCACCAGATCACCCGTGTAGAACAGCACAGCCTTCGGCACGATTTGGGTACGCAAGAGAAAGCCCACCTCGAAATCGCTGCTCAGAATCTGCTTGGTCTTCTCATCAGCTAGGGACAAATCCATGGCTTGCGGTGGGGAAAAGAAGCGGAAAAAGGATTCGCGGGGCATCACCTTGAAGCGAGGACTTCGCCTCCGTCGGCTCTCCACGGTTTGCAGTGTCAAATTGAACCCATCGCGCCAGTGGATGTGACAGCCCTCACACCTCACGATCTCCGGACCCTCGTACAGAAATGGGTACTCCTGATCCGCCGAGTGTTGCAGAAAGTACCTCTTCGTCAGCTGAAGTGATGTGTCGTGCAGGTAGCCATTCGGCCGGAATTGAAAGCTAACCGTATAGCTGTCCTGATCGTAGCCCAAACGCACATCCTGCAGGCACTCCAGCAGCGGTTCATCGTGCTCCTGGACCAGCTCCGACAGCAAAGGCACATTCCGAAAGACAGTCAGCCAGAAGCGAGGAACGCCCAAGGTATCTGCCGGCACAGGCGGAATTCGGCTCCTCAACTCACGCAGCTCCTCGTTATTCTCCAAGTCCAGATTTAAAGAATCCGACTGTGTCTCCGGCCAGAAGGAGTCATCCTTTTGCAGCGGTGGCTCCACAATTCCATTTAAAATGTTTTTTCTTGCATCGAACACAGCGCAACTCTGGCCGTAAAATCGCCGTTCCAGCTCATAGACCTCCCGGTAGAATTGCTCTGAGATGCGCACCTGGTGCAGCTGATTTAGCTTGAGGGCCCGTATCCTGTTCTGCACCTGCTCCGGCAATTCACTGACCATATGCCGGAGGAAGGCCTTCCGAATTTGAGCGGGCAGATCCGCTGGACTTGGCGTTGGTTCGCAGATAAAGGTAGATTCCCGGATGCTTAGCGATTGCAAGGATTCCGAGATCTCGGCAGGCTTCAATTCCGGCTCTTGAGTTCCTCCAGGTCGGAGTAGCTTGTCTGGATTTTTTTCTACATTTAACATGATGCAAAAACTACTTGAAATTTTGGATTTTCTATGAATTTATAAATGCTTTTAGAGCTTGGCACTCTGGATTACAAGTACTACATATTTCTATCATGTAGAAATCTTGGATGATCTTCAGAGTTTTTGAGGTACAAAAAACAAAACCTACACTTTGTCGTGGTTAAATACAATTTAAACCTTTCCTTTTGATATAAATCCCTCAGAAACTAATTTAAAATTTAAACAATTTTAATTAATTTTATACATTTTCCGCTTGTACATGTGCTATTGTTGCGCAGTGTCTTTTATTTATGTTAAAGCAATCGAAGCCAGTGTGTAAACCAATCCCCTAGAAACCCAAATGAATGCAAAAATGTTTGCTGACGCAGGCTTTTCCAGCCTAGTGCGAGCACAGCTGCTGATACCAGCTCTTGCTTTCCCGACACCTTGAATTGGTGCACATAGGACAGCGCATGAGGAACTTGGGATTGACCGCCTGCTCCGACTTGAGGTGATCCGCCACAATGTTGCTTAGGGCGTCAATGAACAGCGGATGATCATTTGGCGCTGCTGCCCGTCGAATCTCCTCCACGCCCACCTCCTTGGCCAGCTCGTCGCAGTACTCAATGTCCAGTTCGTGGAGAGTCTCGATATGCTCGTTCACAAAGGCAATGGGCACCAGGATGAAGTTCTTCAGGCCTTGCTTGACATAGCCCTAAAAGGAAATAGGAAAAGGTAAAATAATTGAGTAAATAGGAACGCAAAAGGTAACATTACCTTGATGGCATCATCGGTGGCAGGTGCCAGCCAGGGCAGCGGTCCCACCTTGGACTGCCAGGCGAGGCTGTATGGATTCGTTTGACCCAGCTCCTGCATTACCATATGCACGCTGGCCCCAATCTCCGAGGGATAGGCATCGCCTCGGCTGACGGCTTTCAAAGGCAGGGAATGGGCAGTGAAGAGGATTACCACATCGTTGCGCTTGGTCTCCACGAACTTGGCCAACTCATCGCGTATGCGCTGGGCAAAGGTCTTGATTAGCAGGGGATGGGTGCCCCACCTATCAATAATGCTCCACTTGATGTTCGAGGGCAGGTTGCTAGAAGCAGAAACTAATGTAAAAACCAATCTATCTTTTGGTAAAATCTCCACTTACTTCTTGCGGTAATGGGTAAAGATGGAGTTGAAGCTAGAGCCGGAGGTGGCGCAGCTGTATTGTGGATACTGCGAGAACAAGACAAGGCGCTCTGGTTTGTCTCTAAGGAAAGGTAAGAATTATTTCATGACCTCCTTAGCTGTTTACATCACCACCCCACTTTTCAATCTCGGCCAGCGTGTTTTCCGTTAGCGGATTCACATAACGGAAGCCCACATAGTGCTTGTGCGGCGCCGTCTCCGGTGAGATCTTGTCCAGCTGCTCGCACATCAGCTTGCCCTGCAGCTCTGTCCATTTGAGGATCGGGGATCCGCCGCCAATCTCCTTGTACTTCTTCTGCACCTCGGGCGTCCTGCGCTGGGCAATCCAGGGCCCCAGGCGGCTCTGCACGGGCAGCTGGATCATGTCCCGATCGGTCATGATACGGAGAAGGTAGTCGTGCACCTGGTCCGTGTGCTGTGGGCCGCCCATGTTGAGCATTAGAATTGCAGTCTTGGGTTGCGGCTGGCCGCTCAAGTGGCGGACACTGCCGGCCAGGTTGCCTGTTTGGGAGTGAGTTTTATTGGAGTTGTGATTGATATTCCATTACATGTACTTACTGGCCAGCCTGCACAGGTTTCTGTTATGCATAAACATTGTGTTTTGATATCAAAATATTGCACTTTTTACCAAATGACAACCGGAAAGTTGCACAGAGTTGGACAATAGTGCTGGCAAAACGTCGGAGCACTATCGATACTCCCCGTAAAAACATCGAAAAATCGATAGTAGAAAAAATTGATTTTTTGCCAGCACTATTGGACAACGTCTTGAACTGGGCAGCACAGACGATCTGGCAACTCGGTAAAAAAAATACCAACTTTCAGCAGGACATCCTGCGCCTGCGCTTCTGTATGCAACGGTAAAAGCTGACTGTCGTGCCGTCTCCCTCCCACACGTTGCATTTCACTCATCGTTCGCTGCGAGTCGTTGCCTGTCCCCAAGTTCTCCGTTTTTTTGGAGCCATTACTGTAAATGCAACCAGCGTTGGAGGAGAAAAACACTAACAACATCGTCTGTTTCGCGACTAAAACCTGAAAAATATCAAAAACATAAAGAAAGTGCCGTGAAAACCGGGGGAAAACCCGCCGCAGCAAAGTGAAAAGTGGGAGTTGGAGTGGGTGACAGAAAGAGACGGGAAGGGAGCACCACACGGCGGTGGTGGGTGTTCGTTCGCATTGGTATGCGTGTTGGTGTTATCGCCAGCAGCAGTGAGTTGCTCCAAATTCGCGGCGTCGGCGCAGAAGGACACTCTCTCCCACTCTCTCCGGTGCTGCTCTAAACGGAACAGGATATTTTATTATACTGAAATTCGTACGCAGGAAATTCGCATAGTTGTGAAAGCTTCGCGCTGCCACACGGACGCATTCCGCTGCTGGCTCCCCCGCACTCACACACTCTCACCCGCGCGCACCCACATACACTCGCTGACACACACTCGCGCAGAAATCAATTAAAACGCATAGATAAGTTGCAGTTTTTTGTGAACCAAAACATGTTGAAATTAACTCACAAATTGCGCAAAAAATGCCGCAGCAAAAAAGTCGCAGCAGCAGCAGTCGCACCAGCAGCAGCAGCAGCAGCGGTGGTGAAAAAATTGTGAAACGGCCAACGAAAGTAGTGGAAAAGCAACGAACGGATAAAGGAGAGAGAACCGAGAAGAGAAAGGATGCAATGACCACCGAAACGGCAGTTTGTCTCTAACGGTAGCAAATACAACGTAGCCTCGCATTCTTGCATTTTTGCATCATCGCGTATTCTCACAGCCCCCGGAAGCAGCAGCAGCATCAGCGGAAATTAAAACAAATCGAAGCCGAAATAAAAGAGCGAGCAAGGAATACAGAGGAAAGAGAGGAGAGAGAGCCATAAAGGAAGAGAGCAAAGTGCATCCTCAGCTTTACAACACGGCACACATTTACGACCGGTGACTGCAACTGGAATCCTCATTCTCCTCCAACCCCCTGCCTCTTCCTACCCCGTCGTCATCCTGGTCCATCATCGCCGCATCCCTCCCCTGCTCCGCCATGTTGTTGTCATTTGCAATTTGTGATCTCATGTTCTCATAACTTGGGCAGCAGACGTTGGCACGGATTAGACGAAAAAACGTCAAGTTCCCAAAACTGCAGGTGAGTTCAGCGAAAATGGGATGTTTTCTAGGGGTTAAAGGAAAGGGGGGTTTTCCCCGGGAAAGTTAAGAACTGCGGTTTGCTGTTTATAGAAAGCTGATAAATCGAGATCATTTTATTTGATAATATTATAAGTTATCTGGGTTTAACTAATTTAGATAAATATAGAAAGTTTAGTTTCTAATAATTTGGTTTAATATAGAAAGTTTGAATATACTTTCCAAATTCTATCACCGGAATTTTATGAAGGAATAAATAAATCATCCAGAAAATAGGTCAAGAAAAGTATATCCACAATAAGCCGACTTATAAAACCTTCATAAATTGGTTTTCCTTTTAATTATTATTTAAAATCGATGTTTTCCATATATGTTACTTTTGCTGACTTTGAGGACTTGAATCGATTTAATATAATATTAATGAAAAAGCAAACAAAATACTTAATTCCTAAATAACAAGTCTGTAATATTTACTTTTGCTTACCATATTTTTATTAAGGAGCTTACTCTTCGCTCTTTTATCTTAAAACATGTTAAACATATATTTTAGGATGTAATTTTTCACTTAAAATTGCATGTTGCACTAAATGTCGTGCTTCAAGATTATATATCTTGGCAATAGTTTTTATTGACTATAAAAAACACTTCAATTAAGCAATAACCTTTTAAATTATCCAACTTAAATCGTTGTTGCCTTCTAGCAATTAAAATCTAAAACTCTAAAGTTGAAACAGTAAAACTCATGCTGTGCTTTTATGGCTCCCAGTTGGACTCCTTTACATTTGCCCTGGGTTATTCCAATTATTTTATTTTTTAATTAAGAATGAAATTTCTGGAGTCCAATCAAAGCCCGGCGTTTCATCAAAACAATACGGAGAAAACGACGAGAAATGTAATATCTTGCGGTGATGCTCCTCCAGCTTCAAAGTCTTTTACGTTCCCACTCATTCCAGTGCAGTTGAAATATCTGAGAAACCAACAGGCGGAAAAACAAGGAAAATAAAGAGGGAAAAAGGGAAAAAGAAAAAGTATACAACTGGGGGAGAAGATACAGAAAGCAAAACATTAACCGCGACATTAACAATCAGAAATGCTTTTTTGTGTGGTTTTTTGTTTTTTTTTTTTCGCTCAAAGCCGTCATTTTATTTCACCCTGCCATAACTCCCCCAAGAGCCCACCAAACTACCCTCAGAGTTAAGAGCTTTGCTCCAGTTTTACAAGCAAACAGAGGAGGAAAATTCGTGTGGGGTCCGAAAACCATGAAAATAAAGCCTCTAAAAAAAAAAAGAATTTTAAGCTAAACCACACAAAAACTAGCTCTAAAAAATATTTTAGACCTGTATAATAAAGTGGGACAACAACCGAAGCCATATATTTGGACATAAATGGGATTTCAATAGAAACCAATTTAAGGCTGCCACTTGGGAGTTTATTTACTGTTTATTCAATTTTTAAAGTCCATTGTGTGTGGGTTATAATAGGGGATAAAATATAAAAGAAAATATTTCAGGAAGCTTTTATTATTACTAAAACTTTGGAGAGGTAGAACAAATGTTTAAGGATAGCAATACCACAAAAACAAGATCAGGGATTTCATTTCAACAATCTAAGCTTTATAATAACCTTAAATATATTTTTATTCGATAGAAAACAACAAAAAAGTTTAAAAAACATAATCTCAATGGATTGTTATTCCACTTTGTAAGTAGCTTAAACTAGTTGTAGATTAACGTTTACAAATAAACTCTCTCTTCAAATTCCTATGCACTTTATTTTGATCCTCTTAAACTCATACGTTAATGCCAACTACTGCAGTACTATGTGAAGTGGTGGCTTCAACGGCCAAATCCTATGGCTGTGTGCAACCATAATTCCATCCTTTTGATTCTCAACTCACTAATTAGATAAAACCGTGGGTTCTCCCGCAGATTTTTCAGTTTCTATGGTTGCGCGCATATTTTTGGCATTTTAGCGGAGTCCGAGTGGCGAGCAGTAGCGAGTTGCAAGTTGCTAGTTACAAGTTTTGGTGTTGCTGGGTGGCATGTTGCACTGTCGCCTGGTGACAAAGCAGCGTGCCAACTTCGCGCTTGAAATGGGCAACAAAGACCACATGGGGCGCATCGAATGCACTGAAAAAATAATTCTTATAGAGTTCTTTATTCAAAAGAAAAAATGTTGAGCAAAGGCTCTTAATTTTCATATTTTGTATTTAATTTAAAATTCTTAGATCAAAGATAATACCTAAATCAAAATTTTAAAATTATTAAAAATTATGTTTGAGTTTATCCTTTCTCTTTAAAAATTGTTACACTTTTTTCCTCGGTGTGCATGCGAGTGAGTCTATGTGCATTCGCATGAATCCAAATGGCTTTGAGGGGGTTGTCGTTGGTGTTGGGAGTGGCGGCTGTGGGTGCGGGTGTGCCAGTGCCAGCCCCCTGCGACATTAGCCAGTGGTGGTGGGTCTCTGTTTTCGTGGTTATTTCTTCAACGGGTGCTACATGCCAGTTAATGTGTGGACAAGGGATCGGGCCAGAAGCGGGTTGTACGGATAAACTTGAACGCAGCAATAACAATACGAAATAATGCGATGGGGTTAGGATTGAGCCAAAAAAGAGCAATCGATATATCCGACGTGCCCTCCACGGTGGATCGCTGTCAATATTGTTGCATCGCCAAAATGGGGTGCCATTACACTTTGACAAAAATCTATACAATTGTTTAAATAGGTAGTAAAGACATGCAGAAATTATAAAATAATAAAACAAACTATATGAAAGGAAAATACAGAGTAAATTTAAATAGTTTGAGGCTTTTTAGTTGTATAAAGTGTGTTTAAAAAGTTAATTAATATTTAATTTAATTATTTAAATAGACAAATACTTTTTATTGTTTTCTTTCTTTGGTTAAATGACGCTAAACAGCTCATTTTCTATAGTATTTTTAGCTTAGTGCTATTACCAGCCCCCATTATTATGAATGGCTTTTCTTCATGTGAAACTTCAGACCCTGCAGGTAAGATCCTTCAACATTTTAGCTGAGCTTTGCCATTTCTTCTTCTTTTGCTATGTTTTTCCTGTCTGTTTTTTATTATTTGATAAATGATTTGCAATTTTTGCCGCTTGAACCGAGGGCGTTCCAAGGCTTTGTCACTCATTTATGTATGTATGTAAGCACACTCTCCTCTCTGAATTATGTACATGGGAAGAATCATTGCCGGCTGAATTTATGATGTCATTATAATAAATTTTATGCGTGCCTAGACAACATTCCCGGCGACTGGCGGCAAAAGTTGTCCTCGATGTAAACGTTGTTGCTGCTGCTGCTTCTGGCTGTTGGTGTTGCTGTTTCATCAACACCCGGGCCAGTATTTCTCTCTCTTGGCTGATTGCTATACTTTGTCGCTGTGCTGTTGCTGTGACACAAAGTATCTTGTATCTGCATGTTCTAACTGCAACCAGCAACTCCTTCGGCTCAACATCCAACAACTGCCAACTGTCTACTCCCTACTTTTCCGTACAAATGCATTGCACTCACTGCAAAGGAAATTATGAATAGAACATTTTTCTGTTTCATTCTGGGCTGTCCCAGACAGTGATGTCAGCTGGGAAACTTTTATCGAGGCTATATTTTTAGTTTGGTGAATGTTTTAGAGCTTCAATTTAAAATTGCAACCAATGAGAGAGCTTAGATTTCTTCAAGCAATCGTAGAAATTTACATAAAAAACTTAAAAGACCATAAAGTTAAGTCAAATTTATCCGAGAACTTAAACAATTCGGAGGGTTCTGTAAGTTTCTTAAGATATTTTGAAGCCTGAAAATTTATACATTTTTATATTTATTTAAGAAAATTTCTTCATATCGTTTTATTTTAGTTTAAAGATACATAAGTAGAAGAGGTAACTGGCAAGATCTAGTTACAGTAAATAAACCAACTGAATTTCTTAACTTTAATGAATTTAAATCTTAAATTAAATCATATTTGTTATATTTTTCTACAACTTTTCTCTCATAAATGGGTCGTTGGCATCTCTAAAACTAGCACTGAGTTGCAAGAAGGGAATCCCAAGAAGGAAATCAGTTGTCACTGACGCAGCTGGACCCCCTTACATATGCATGAGGACATGGCTCGACATTCTTCTTTGTACATCTGAATGTCCTGTGCACGATTGTAACTTTTTTCATTGCAATTACGGAAGGGAGTAGGGGGCTCTGTGGGAATCTTTAGTGGAAGTCAAGTATATATATCTGTATGCAGGCCCGACAAAAGTGTTTTATGGCAACAAAATCTCAGCTGGAGTTGTGGGCAAAGTGCCAGGCAAAGCTTCCACTGGCTTAGTTTAGGTTCTACGTGCCTCTAATGGTGATGACAATGATCATTACTGCCAATGATGACGATGTAATATTGGTATTGAGGTTCGGAGTTACTTGAAGGGATTTACAGGGAAGTGTATTTAAAATTCTTAAAGTTCAAATTTGAACTTAAAAATTACTCATTTCTAGGGAGTAAGTTCCCTATAAAGGTTTTGAATTACGATAGTAGAAGTAAGTCAAATAATTTTTATTTATTATAACCTAATAATTTTATTTAAGAAAATTATTTAAAAAATTATCTTCAAAGTCAAAGTCAAAGTTTCCATTTCTCCAAGTGGCCATTTTCTCTTTCATTGTTTTATGCATATTGAAAAAGGTCTCGTGTCTGAAAAGTTTCCCATCTGAGGGACTGGTAGCGTTAATAACTTTAAATCCAAAGGGCACACGAGTCATTCCCCTTCCCCACAGCAATGAAAATAGATGTATGTACATATGTGTTCGTTTATTCATATTGTTGGGGGGGCTGTGCCAGAGAGCATTGGGGTTTATCTAAACAATTCCGCATCTCTTTTGCGACATTCTTTTTGTTTTTATTCCCGTTTCTATTGTAGAGTCACAGAAACAAGAGCAGCTAGCCGCACAAAATGCTTTTTAATTAAAAATAATATCAACGATGCCTCGACGCCACAGTCATTCTCTCCAAAGAAATGGAACTAAAAGAGTTAGCTTATTGTTAAATGAAGTGAATATATATTTTTATCGGTTAAATGCATTTTCCATTACCTTGCAAATTAAGCGCTGAGCCGTTTAACGTCGTAGACGATAATTTTCTCAGCTTAGACGATAATTTTCTTATAGCCAAGTAAAACCAGGCCAACACAATTAGCCCCAAAGGCCTTAAGGCCAGCAAGCCAGCCAGTCAGGCTGTCTGCTTGGCTACTTCATTACCATAAATAGATAGTTATATTGTATGTTATGTGAGTGTGCTTATTTTGTCAAGTTGCCAAGGCTGTAAAGAACGAGGAATTATATATATACTAAGTCTTATATGCAAACTGCGACCTTTTTTTTTTATAAGCTGCTAACTATTAATGGGAAGTCATGTAGCTTTTGTTAAGAAACATGTGCTTTAAATTTATTTTTAGAACATTAACGTCGAATATTTTTGTGATACTTTAAGTGTTTTTAATCCATTATGCTTAATCTGTTCTTTAACTTTAATTTATAATTAAAAAGATGATTTTTTCTTTCACGTTTTCTTTTAAATCCGAATGTATAGCATTTTTTTAAGGGCGACCCAATATCGTACGAGGAGACCGAGGAATGTCCTGCTGTACTCCCCGTTCTCTGTTTCTCTCACTCTGTCCTCTATTTTCATTTCCATCAGCCTACCAACCACTGTGTGTGTGTGTGTGTGTGTGTGTGTATGCTAAGCGAACCACATTTTATTTGCCAATGGACGGACAAAAGCTAAGGAGCAGGGCAAACATTGCATTATCAGCGCTATAAAATCAGACGCAGACAGTTACTCGATATATGCATATGGTAGGAGGGGTGTAAGGAGGGTTTGGGGAATGGGAGTTCTGAGTTGAGGGGGGAGGGGCTAAAACTGTCCAAGTGCTCGAATGCCTTGTCAAGCAAATGCATATGACACATGTCGGGCTCGTGGCTCCAGGCTCGCGAAGTGTAAAGCTTCATTAAGTTAAACATGCTCAGATACACTCAACACACTCCTACGCATACACATAGGCATGCACAGTGGAACAATCGATGAGTTTTTATCTAGAAAATAAATTTAAAAGGGTTCGCTAATATTTTTTTTGTAGAAAGTTTTAGGAAGAACTCTCTTTTAAAATTAAAAATTCATAGGAGAATAAATTTAAAAATCAATATAATTTCGACACACTGTTCTTGGGTGTGTCAAGTGAATAGAGCGTGTGTGTTTGTCTCTGAGTGTGTGCAAGCTTGTTGACAATCAAGTGACAGTAAATACTTGGTCGTTCGTTTTTTAACTCATTATTCTCTCCGCTTTCCCTATGTTTTATTGCAGGAACTCTACTCACAACACACAACGAGCAACGAATAAATCGAACTTGCATTTTTATATCGCATTTTTGTAAGGAACCAAATAACGGAACGTGTTCAGCATTGACCAAATGCCATCGCAGCAAGCAACTCGAGCTATACGTGTCCCATGAAAACAGACGGCAATTAATAGAATAGTTGCCTTTTGAACGACGAACCCCACCCAAAGGCGAGAGAGGAGGAACGAGGAAAGGACGCAGGATATTCCCCAATCGGATCCCCACTAATAAATGCAGTGGAAGAAGAAGTTTACTCGATTGAAAGCAGCTACTGGAAATTCGCGTGTGCGAAGAATGCTTTGTTGTGGACGTAGAAAGGTAAGAAAAACAATGATTATTTAAAGGGATTTTTAAAAAGGGAAAATATGACTAAAACGGAGGCATAAAATTAGTCTAAAAAGCAAAGTTTCACGGACAATTAATACTAATTATTAAGTTCAAACTTCTCCAAAAGTAATTAATATATTTTAAGGAATAACTTAACCTTTTCATTGTGGCATTTTAAGGATAGCCTTTATCACATATACATAATTGCGAGGGATTTAATTAATGAAGTATTATAGGGCTGTGATCTTAATGCTCCAATATAGTAGTTAAGCTAATTATAATATGCTTGATTCAGCATAGTTAAAAATAAACAAGTCACTGTAAGTTTATCAGAATAATTAGGGCTTAAAGGTCATTTTAAAGTAGTTTAATCGAAGCTATTAATAATAATGGATAATTACATTGAAATAAGATGAAGTATAAAATGAAATAATGGTTAAGGGAATACAACATTTAAATATGAAACAAAGACTACATATTTCATTAAGAAATTCATTTTATAGGCTATAATCAGAACTTCATTGCACTCTTTTTAAATAAATTATACAATAAAATTAATTATTTTTCCTCTACTCATTATGAACCTTTTCCCAGCTTTGATTTCAAATGTATATCTTATTGTTTCAACTTTTCCATCAATTATCTGTTGTGGTCGTCCTTGGCGGACCAATTAAACCGTGACTGAGCAATCTTTTAAGAACAGTGCTCGCTCTCTTTTTACCGACATAAGTGCGGGAAAACTGGCTCAATCTGTCAGTCAATTGGAGGAAAACAGCCCCCGTCTCGGCCCTCGTCACCTTCGTGGTTGCCATAATAAATTTACATTTTACGCCTGAATTTCAATGAAGGCTTAATTGCAAAATCTGATTTATATGCTGCCGCTGTTGCCGCGCACGATGTGTATATGGCCTGGATGGGTATGGGGATTTTCTGGTGAAATTTTCATTGGGGCCATGCCTCCCACCATTGAAGTGGGCGGACGGAGGTGTTTACATACAAAATACGAAACATGTTTCGCCACTTTTTAATGCAAGCGATACACACACAACACACACACACACCCGGCGACAAATTCAATTACAAGCCACACGTGCGGCATGGGGCATACCATCTATCGGACTTTAATCAAAGTTACCGCACAGTTTAATGCAATTTTTGAAATGAACTCCCGATTGAATGCCGAGTAATTGGGCTGAACAAAGGGGTTTAATCCCGCTGTCCGACAGCACTTAATTTGATTGGGACCCAGGGCTCCAGTGGAATGGATAAGAGTATTTGCTCGACTGCTCCCACCTGGCAGGCACCTATTCCTCTATGGGGTTGCCCCTTCATTAGGCACCTAACTGAGCAAGGTGCTCCTCTAGATTGTGTTTAATGCCAAAAAGCACTGCAAAAGAATGTAGAGTCAAAAAGAGATTTATTTTAGGTATTTATTCTTGGGATTCTATGAGGATTTATAATCAATTAATTGTGTTTCAAAAAGTTATTATTGAGACTTTACATCTCTATACTTTATATCTCTACTGATGATGATTCTTGGATGGTTCCTAGACAATGTGTGTATCCTGTGGATAATCAATCATTTAGTCTTATAAAAAATACATATTATATTATGACTCACAGGTCTCTAGGCCTCTAAAAGCCATATAGCTTCTATAATTATAATGTCTTTCAAGAATAACTATTTTTTTCCCAAGTGTAATCCTAGCAAGAGCCACCATCTCTAGCCGTCTTGTAAGAACTTTGCCAGTCAGCCAGCCGCTTGGAGAAACTTTGTGATAAAGTCCTTGCGGATAAGTCCTTGGAGATGCGGTTGCCGGCGCATTTAGACCACAGCCACACCCTGTTCACACACTACCCACCCGTTTCGTACTCCTCCTCCTCCTTCTCTGACACTCCTGGCTGTTTGTTTTAGTTATAGTTGATTATTTTTCTTTTTGCCGCGTAGCAAACTTTGACTTTGGCTCCCTGACATCGGAAAGTTTAACAAATAAATTAATTTACCCGCTGCACCGACAACCAGCCAAGATGAAGCTGCCATCTTAATCGTCCCGCGGACCTGGGTTGGCAAGGAATTCAATTTGCACTGCTCGATTCCCTTTGAAAGCAGAGAATCCTAGGGATTTCAAGGGATGTGCTTTGAGGCATTATAGCTGCAGGAAAAATAACAAAATAAGTCACACAAAATATTTATTTAATTAATTATAAAATTATTTTGAGCAGTATTTGAGGCATCTTATTATCAAAACAAATAATAATTCTTTAATAGTTTATAATTTGAAAATAACCCCAAGAAATGTATAAATTTATAGGGAAAATTTTACCCATACCTTACTTTTTACCCTATATCTTTCAGTTTCAGTAAGGGTATTCAGAGTTCGAAGCATCTTTTAAAATGCATTTAAATTGCATTTCTTGTTTGGCCTTAATAGCTGCCTTGGCTTTAATCAGTTTTGCGCCAGGCTCTGTAAATTGATTTGTTAAACAATTTTTAATTGAAATAAGACGCTGCCGGGCAGAATGTCAAACTTTTCTGCCAATACTTTGCCAGCAGGCAGCAGCTTTTCCGCTTCTCTGCTGCTCTGCTGCTTTGCTTCTTCGCCCAGCTGCGCTGTTCTGCCCTTCCGCTTTTCCGCTTTTCCTGGCACTTGGCAAAAAGTTGGTCAAGTGAGACGCGTTGGCATTTCTATTGGCATACGAGTGTTGACTGGCAGCCAAACAGGCAATTGCACTCGGGTCGAGGAGGGGCAGGGCGGGGCGGGGGCTGAGCGCCAGAAATCAGCATATTGAATTACAAATTGGAGGGGTTGCGAAATCGAAACCATTCAATGGGATTGTTTTGTGCAGCATCCATCCATCCGATTTTCCATGGCAGTGGCAGTGGCAGTTGCAGTTGCAGTTGCTGCATCTGCAGCATCTCTATATATTTTTTTTTTGCTGGAATTTCAATAAATTCCACATGCCGGTCCGGGCAGTAAATTATTTTGATTTATGTGCAACAATGCATGAGTGATGAAAAGTGGCAGCACATTGGCTGCATTTGAAATTTAATTGAAAGTCTGACTGACAAAGGCGGTTTCTCCCAATAAAGTCATATTAAATTTGAATTAAAGTACGATAAATAAATATAATTGCCGCAGAACCTAACCGAATTTATTTCTATCGCTAAACTTGTAATGAATTTTGGGTTTTGTTGGTCTGATAAAATGTGAGAAAATGGTTCAAATAGGCTTGCTGAGATTTACTCTTCTATTACCCGCTTTTTAAGCTTTAAAATGTTGTTTTAGATGACAAAACTCTAAAAATAAATTGATGGAGTACTTGCTTTCAGTTGCTTAAATGATTAGTTGCCTGAAGGATGAAAGTTTATGAAAATAGTTTGCGGTTGTGGCCATCGGCCCCCTTGATGTATTCGTTGGAGGCTGTGCGGAAAGTTTTCCCCAACTTGTTTGCCATGCAGCGGCACGTTTAGTGCTCCGAAATGGCGCAAGATGATGGCATAAAGCATCCTCAGCCCAGTCCCCTATCCTGTCTTCTTTAGGCCTGGAGTCTGTCGAGTGCCATTCACAAATAAATGGCGGGCATTTAGGCAGCCGCAGTCTGGAGTCTATGAGTATTCTTTTTTCTCCTTTCTTGGAGTCTTTCTTCATCGGCTGTGTTTGAGTTTCAGTTGCCTGGCCACCTTTGAAGCTGCCAACAACAATTGGGGAGAAGGCGCTGCCAGGAAACTAAGAAACTAGAAGCGACGACTGGCACAGGATTCTAGGCTCAATGCAGATAAGGATATTGCCTCAGCTGGAGCAGAAGTAGAAACAGGAGGAGGAGGAGAAGCAGGAGTGGGAGCAGAATTAGGAGCAGGAGCTGCAGATGTAGATGAAGATGAAAATAGTGTTGGATGCTGAAAGTTTCTAAATATGTGCATTTAATCGATATTTTGTTTTATAAAAATATAAATAGCCTTTTTTGTGAGATTTTTGATAATATTTCCATATTTTAAACTTTAATGCGATATGTTATATTATTTTTTATATTTTTCGTAGATATTTTTTTCTCAGTATCCGCGTTCTTACAGATACAAAGCAGAGTCAGAAACTTTTCGCCAAGACAAACACTGGCACAGCATTTCTCCATCTTCCTTCCTTTAGATACTCCCATCGTTTTTCTTTTCCCCTCTTTTTCTTTGCAATTTGCTCGCCAGAAAAAGCGTTTCTGCCTTGCTGCACTTCCTGGAGTCCCCCCTCCTCTATTGTTTTAGTTGCCAAATGATTTTGAAAAAAAAAGAAGAGAATAATAAAATAAAAGCGAGCTAAAACTATTAATTGGCAACGTAGCAGGTGTAGCGGTTTTTTTAATTGCTGCCAACGCAGCGCAAAAAGTTTTACTTTGCTTGGCGCTTAATAAGCTTAATTTTAGGTGCATTGACTTGGAAAGCGCCGTGATAGGGCAATAGAACCAAGGAGCAAAGGACCAAGCGCCAAAGCAGTGAAGAACCTGAAGCCCTTGGGGGGAATTAGTTCACCAGCACACTGATTAATTTGATAATAAGACGTTCAAATGCCAAAATGATACTCTTTTGACAGGGCAAAGACAGGGGTTAAAGGAAACAGGATCGTGGAAATTGGCAAGGTTTAAATATGATGTATAATACTTCACCTTCTACAAAATTATTTCAGAAAAAATTACAGAAAAAAATCAGAAAGACAAGTACTTTGTCAAGTCCTTAAGTGATGTTGCCTGGTTACTATTGCAATCAATTAATTAACTAATTGAGTCAGCAGTTAGGTTCCCGACTATGCAAACAGAGGAAATTTCCTTATCTCGGCACAAGTTTCCACCTGCTTATGGCCCAGTGAGCCATGTACTATATGACAACTGGCTCAAGGACTGTCTCTCGCTTTTGCTTACCTTGTTAGGGATGCTTACGTGCGTTGAAATTTTTTGTTTTCTCTAGCTAGCTGCTCGACTTGAGCTACTACGTGCCCTTCATTTGC